TCCAAGTTGGAATGCAGTCCCCTGATATTGCAGAGGTCCACAAATCAAAGTCATATCATAAAGTGGCAAACGAGCGAGTGGCTGATATCGCTGATATAGTGAAGTGACAGCCCATAGACATACGCAATTGCATATGCGTTGCCTACCTTTAATCGACGGAGGAGAGGATGCACAGAAAGAAAATATCTTCCCTTTTCATGCATCTCATCCGGAAAGTCTACTTCCACTTCCCATCATTACCTTATAAGAAAAAGGGTGGGAAGGGAAAGAGGACTAAATTAGGTCTTCAGGAATAGCTTCAACTTGAGGCGTGTCTTCTGTATGGTCGTGGTATTTCATCAGACGAGCCAATTCGTGCAAAGATGTTAAAGCTCGCTCTACCACTGTTAAAGAGTTACGCGTTTAATACTTAGCTATAATTGTATAAGAACATAAAATGAAATATCTATTTAAATCAACCAAATGTGAGGTCTAATGAACCTCATAACTGTAAAGATAAATAAGACCTCATATATAATGAAATTACTAGAAGTAAAAATACCTTTCCCATATTACCAGGTTGTAGTTGGCCCATTTCAAAATCTAACTTGAAATCTAGACAGACCGGTCGTATGTATGTAGTGTAAGTGAATGGCTTGTCTACTATTACTAATGCTATGTCGTCCTGGTGGTTGTTCTCTCGACCTTTGTACGTCTCTGGTATGTGGATGTTTTTTACCTGGTTAAAAATGATTTAATAACTACAAGTTTTGTTTTTGTTAAACCTTGATTGCGTCGTACTTAATATTAATTATAAATGTGAATGTATGAATGTATGGATGTTTGTTAGATCTGCCAGAATGGATCTGTCTGAAATTTGGCATTGATGAACATAATCTGGAAGAACATATAAGCATTGGAAATTAAGTTTGCAATTAAGCATGCACTACCGCAACCTTGACCAGGTCATCGGTCCATCGTGTGTGAGGCCTACCTACGCTGCGTCGCCCCGTCCGTATATATATTCATCAGCTCACTATACGTCCCCACCAAAGGGCTTGAAGCCAACCCTAAGTTAAGGGTGATTAGGCCATAGTCAACCACGCTGACCAAGTGCGGGTTGACTTCACACATATATTTAAATTTCTTCTCATATGTGCAGCATCACGATGTTTTCCTCCATCGTAAGAACGTGCGATAAATGTACATATGTAAATCGGAAATGGAAAAACACATTGGTACATGGTGGGATTCGAACCCAGGACCTGCAGATTGCAAGTCAAGTGCTAACATCTATTAATAACAAATTAAGGACAACGCCATCTAGGTACAAACAGAAGATTTATTTTTTTGTATTTTTTGTACTTACATATCTTTTCTGAGCATCCTTATCTCTTGTGTCGCCCCAAGAGCGATATATTTTACCGAGAGCAGCTGCGAAGTTTTTCGCTGGATGTAACGCCTCATTGTTGTCATCGTAGAAGCAATGAGCAGCTGAGATTAGATTAGATTATATTAGATGACATCAGATTAGATTAGATGAGATTAGACGACATACAATGAATTAAATAGGAAAAGATAACCCTTGATATTTTCTGCACCTACTTACACAAATTGAAAAAACTAATTAATACACGTAAAGAGGCACAGACTTTTGGTTTGTTCATTTAACATTTTTTTATCTTTTTTTAGTATGTATCACTGTTGTACACATTTTATTGGATCACAGCTCACTATACGTCCCCACTGAGGGTCTCGGAGCCTACCCTAAGTTAAGGGTGATTAGGCCATAGTCAACCACGCTGACCAAGTGCAGTGACTTCACTCATATCATTGACTTTCTCAGATATGTGCAGCATCACGATGTTTTCCTTCACCGAATCATCGAATAAATGTACATATGTAAATCGATAATAAAAAACATATTGCTACATGGCCGGATTCGAACTCAGAACCTGCAGATTGCAAGTCAAGTGCTTGACCCCTGAGACACCGAAACTCTTGTTAATCTTCTTACAAATATTATAAATGCGAATGTTTAGATGTATGTTTGTTTAAAGGTATCTCCAGAATGACTGAACGGATCTCGATGAAATTTGGCATACACATAGAACATAGTCTGCAAGAACACATAGGCTACTAATAACTTAGGGAGGACGGAGTCGCGGGCGACAGCTAGTGAATAGATATCTTGATAAACTTACCAGAGACAATAGTGCTTCTTTTTATAAGTGATCCTCCACAGATCTGGTCATATTGTCTCGCATCCGGTGAGAGTTTATATATACCCGCGTGCCAAGTCAACTCCCCCCTTACAGCCACTTTACCCCCAATTACTAATTCCGTGCTCTTATCTACTACAGTACCGCAGTCTAAATAAAATATAACATAAGTCTAAAATTTTTGAATATCTTATCTTAAAATATAAATAAATCAATTTAAAATTATTTAATAAAACTAATTAATTAAACTACCAAAATAATACTATAAACTATATACTAAAACTAAACCAAACTAAAAATAAAACTAAATAATATAAAAATCGACCCCAAATCGCTGCGGTCGCACGGTAGGGTTCCCAAGTCATAAATACATAAGTCTTAATATTACTAATATTATATATTTTTTTTAATAAGGTGGCTAACGAGCGAGCGGTCACCTGAAATCGCTTAAATAGCGAAGCGACAGCCCATAGACATACGCAATTGCATATGCGTTGCCTAACTTTAATCGACGGAGGAGAGGATGCACAGAAAGAAAATATCTTCCCTTTCCATGCATCCTCTCATCCGGAAAGTCCACTTCCACTTCCCATCCTTTCCTTATAATAAAAAGGGTGGGAACGGAAAGAGGACTAAATTAAGCCTCCGGGAATAGCTTCTACTTGAGGCGTGTCTTCTGTATGGGCGTGGTATTTCTCCGGACGAGCTAATTCGTGCGAACATGTTAAAGCTCGCTCTACCACTGTTAAATGAGAATGTTTGAATGGATGTTTGTTTGAAGATATCTCCGGCACGGCTCAAAGGATGTTAATGAAATTTGGCACACATAGAACATAGTCTGGAAGAACAAATAGGGCACTTTTTGACTTCTTTTAAATTCAGACCTAAATCGCGGGCGACAGCTAGTATTATAAATGCGAATGTTTTAATGGATTTGTTAGAAGGTATCTCCGTAAAATTGCAGGTATCAGAAGACCGGTCATCATGGCGATCTTTGGGAGGCCAAAGATATCTTCTTCAAGAAGATCTCCATAACAGCTGTTCAGATCTAGCTGAAATTTAACATAGTCTGGCTGAACACATAGTACATGTACTTACTTGGTAGACATTTCATAACGTTCTCCCACTTTCCATCAACACAATGAGCTTTAATCTTTGCACCATTCCAGTAGTAGTGAGGTTTGCAAGTTGCAGCAGCACGTGTACCCTCTAATTCATATTCCCGACAAGGCCATGAACTCTTCGTGTTATTACCATATACCATGTCACATTCATAAGAAGCTGTAGGATTGTCGATGTCTTTGCATTGCCCTGGTAAAAAAATAAAGAAACCACTCTATTAGAGAAACTCTAGTTAAAGAGAAACCTCTCTAAGTGGGAAACCCGGGTTAAGAGAAACCTCTCTAAGTGGGATACTCGGGTTATTAGAAACCTCTCTAAGGGGGAAACTCGGGTTAAAGAGGAGAATCTCTAAGCTGGAAACTCGGGTTAGAAAGAAACCTCTCTAAGTGAGAAACTCGGATTAGCGATAAAATCGCGTTACCTTAGACTCTCGCTTATACACATACAGTATGTTCCTAAAATAAAATAATTTATTAATCTTTTAAATTTTATTTATACTTACGAAGACATCTAGGTATTGCCGCTGACCAAATTCCATCAGAACAATAGATATTGCTTGGATCATCTAAGCCATATCCAGTGTTACATGTAAATTTTAAAGTAGGCGTGTTTAATATCTGACCAGGGACAGCGTTAGGGCTACCTATTACATCATATGTACCGTGCTGCGGATAATCTGGGAGCTTGCATTTTGAATTTATATTTGTAACTCTGTGAATTAAAAAATTACTTTATCATCATCATCAGCCTATACTAGTCCACTGCTGGACATAGGCCTCTCCCATGGCACACCACTGAGTACGATCCTCGGCCACACTCATCCAGCTCTTGCCAGCTCCCCTGCGAATATCATCGCTCCACCGAGTCTGAGGACGTCCTACGCTACTTTTGCCGACCCGTAAAAAATTACTTGTCTTAGTAATATTATATATGTGAATGTTTAGATGGATGTTTGTTTGATGCTATCTCCGGAACGGTTCAACCGATCTTGATGAAATTTGGCATAGATGTAGAACATAGTCTGGAAGAACACATAGGCTACTTAAGTTTTTTTTGCGGGCGTCAGCTAGTCTTTTTGTAAAACGTATCGTTATACGTGTTATTCTTGACAAAAGATTCTTGGTTTCAGAAACCCACTGTTAGTTATCTAACTTACGTAGTAGGTTGAGTTGTAGTTCTTGGTGTACTTTTCGTCGTATGAGGGATTGTTTGATTGCCGCAAAGCTCTATAGATTCGTCAGATCCGTCAGCGCAATCATTTATCTGTTGAAGATTAAAAACTTGATTCAAATCACGATAATTGGATAAGTTTCCAATTGTAGTGATGTGAAGAAAAACTGCTTTTTTAATATATCACAAGGTGGCAAACGAGCGAGCGGCCACCCGAAATCGCTGAAACAGCGAAGTGACCGTTGCCCATAGACATACGCAACCGCATATGCTTTCCTTATAAGAAAAAGGGTGGGAAGGGAAAGAGGACTAATTTTGGCCTTCGGGACGCACACTCATCAAACGAAACGCGGAATTGCTTCCACTTCACGCCTGTCTTCTGTGTGGTCGTGGTATTTCACCGGGGGTGCCGAGCCGATTCGTGCGAAGATGTTAAAGCGGGCTCTACCACTGTTTTTGTTAAGTACTTTTAGATATTGTTAATTAGAATCCTTTGGCTCGAATCGCGTTTACAAAGTGTCAGAATGATTAGTGAGGGGACATAAACGTTGATATTTTAGTAAGGCTAGTGTTGCGATACACCGGCACTGTGTCGGATTTTCTTATTAACAGTAGATGTCAGCATAATCAAGAGTGACTAGTTTTTCTTTTAATTTTACGACAAGGTAACATAGACCTTTAGGTAATATCTTAATTGAAAAATGTTCATTACTTTGGCTTCACATCACTAAAATTCGTCGTTTAAACAGTGACTAGCATCTAAATATACCACGGATACAAAACAACTCTATATACAGGATGTCCTGGAATTACGTGTACAGTGGAGTACCACAGATTTCTTGGTTTAATATGACGATTTAATCCAACTTACATCTAAACAAAGTTGCTTCGGTTAACCGCTAAAGGCTTTAAAGTTAGCAAATTATGTTACATTTATTCAAATATCTCAAAAAAATCTTATATAGATTAAAAACACGGTTTTTTTTTACATAAACTATACCTTTTAGTAAAACAAACTCATAAAACATTTGCAAACATGAATGTCGGAACAAAAATCAATTATATTTTTGCAACCTCCTGTATAATCGATGCCAACTATTGGTTAAATTTTGATTTGGCTCACGGTTTTATGGCAAGCTTTATGCTTTCATTTTTTTCCCCAATATCTTACTAATATTATAAATGCGAATGTTTAGATGGATGTTTGTTTGAAGATATCTCCAGTAAGTCTAAATAGATCTCTATGAAATTTGTCATACATATAGAACATAGTCTGGAAGAACACATAGACTACTTATTATATTTATAATACTGCGGGGACGGAGTCGCGCTACAGCTAGTATTCACATGCTATCTCTCACATTCCCTTTGAAAGAACAGAGATAACATCACATTAGGACAGTAAAATACTTACTCCATTACATTCCGCACCCTGTTCTGCACAGGCGCCGTATGCGCATTGAAACAGATATGGTAAACAGGACATAGCAGCACAAGATCTGACTGTCTCATCAGATCCGTCATTGCAATCTGGTGTACCATCGCAACGATTCTCAGCTGGTATTAATTGTCCGTTAATACACTTATATTGACCACTAGAAAAGAAATCTATCTAGAAGATTCTACATACGAAGTAAAATCATACTTCTTACTAATATAAATACGAATGTTTAGATGGATGTTTGAATAATATATAGGTCATCATCAGCTCACTATACGTCACCACTGAGGGATTCGGAGTCTACCCTAAGTTAGGTGATTAGGACATAGTCAACCACGCTGGCCAAGTGCAGTGACTTCACACATATCTTTGATATTTCTTCTCAGATATGTGCAGCATCACGATGTTTTCCTTCACCGTATCGGATAAATGTACATATGTTAATCGGGAATCAAAAAACACATCGGTACATGACAGGATTCGAACCCAGGACCTGCAGATTACAAGTCAAGTTACCCCTGAGCCATCGACGATCTTGAATATAAGCTACCAAATATTTTTTTTTATTTCAACAACTTTCAAGACAGATTTTAATAAACGTAAGCACTATACTTACTTAATTTCATCACTATTTGTTCTACAAATCGGACTTAGTTCATCTGACGCATCAGCGCAGTCAACCCGACCATTACAAGGTGCGTTACCCGAGACGCACGCACCGTACGCACAACGAAAGAGATTTGATGGACATCTATAAATAATATCCAACTTGAGTTTTTGAAACCTAAGAACTTACTAATATTATAAATGCGAATGTTTGGATTTATGGATGTTTGTTTAAAGATTTTTTTATATCATAAGGTGGCAAACAAGCGAGCGGTCACCAGAAATCGCTATAATAGAAGTGACCGTTGTCCATAGATATACGCAATTGCATATGCGTTGCCTACCTTTAATCGACGGAGGAGAGGATGCACAGAAAGAAAATATTTTCCCTTCCCATGCATACTCTCATCCGGAAAGTCCACTTCCACTTCCCATCCTTCCCTTATAAGGAAAAGGGTGGGAAGGGAAAGAGGACTAAATTAGGCCTCCGGGACACACACTCATTAAACGAAACGCGGAATTGCTTCCACTTGAGGCGTGTCTTCTGTGTGGTCGTGGTATTTCACCGGACGAGCCAGGCCAATTCGTGCGACGATGTTAAAGCTGGCTCTACAACTGTTCGGTGTCTCCAGAACAGCTGCACGGATTTTGCTGAAATTTGTCATACATATAGAACACATTCTGGAAGAACACATAGGCTACTTATTAAGTTTTTTTTCATTCCGCGCGGTCGACAGCTTGTCTCTGTATCAAACAACGGAGATATTGGTCCCAGAAACCCAATATTACCTCATTTTGCGACAGAGGGCGTGTACTTCATCGCTACCATCCCGACAGTCAGGAACACCATCACAGATACTATCCACATTGATACATCTACCACCATTACACTGCCATTGTTCATTTCTGGAAGAAAAGTGACCATCATCAGCTCATTATACGTCCCCACTGAGCTCGGAGCCTACCCTAAGTAACTAAATCATAGTCAATGCTGGCCCATTGTATTCACACATACTGAATTTCTTCTCAGATATGTGCAGCATCACGATGTTTTCCTTCACCGTAACATCGGACAAATTTATTACACATATGTAAATCGGAAATGGAAAAATACATTGGCATGGCGGGATTCGAACCCAAGACCTTCAGATTACATATCACGTGTATACCACTGAATCACTGACACTCTTGTCCTTAATATGACCATAGAAATGAGCAATTAGGTCAGTGGTCCCAAACTTATTTTGTCTACTGCCCACTTTGAGAATAAATATTTTTTTAGCGCCCACATATTTTCACATATTTAAAAACCACTATAACTTCAAATTAAATAATTACTGTGACCTATATATGTATATTAACGGAGAATTCTAAAGGAAACTTTTACTATAACCCGCAACTTGAGACCTGCAGCGCCCACAAGGGGGCGTTATCGCACACTTTGGGAAAGACTGAATTAGGTGAATGGTATGTTTTTGGCAGCTTTCCCCGTATCCCTTTACCCCACTATACCTACTACCTGCTTAACGACCCCTATCATTATTTTTAACAAAACAGAGATATTCTTGTTTGGATTTTGGTCTCAGAAATCCACAATAAGAACTATACTTACTGACAATTATTTGGTCGATTTATAGTTTGTCTTTTTAATCTTTTTAATTCGGCAAATGAATCGTAATTATTCCTGGAAATATATAACAATCATAAAACATCACTCAGATATTAAAGTTTCAAATATGTACCACTGGATTTGATGCAAAATGATAAAATAAACTCGACACCAAAATCTCTGTTTAAAACATATCGCCATCCCTGTCATTATCTTTAATAAAACAGAGATAGCATATTTCAAACGGAGATTTTGGTCTTAGATATACACGGTGTAAGAACGCCTTTATAATTCATTTTAGCTCCAAAAGATGGCGTTTTCTTATAAAATGTCAAAGTATACGGCAAGATTTACTACAAAAATCATAAATTTTACTTATATCTCTAATCAAAATTTAAATTTTGAAGCTTTTTAAATTATAAGTTAAATATGCAATACGTACCTGATATAAAATCCGTCATAATATGCCGTAACCGTATTTATGTGAATAACTGAAATATAATAGTTATGTTTTATTTTTAAGCATTCCCGGGATTTCGTCAGCGCAATAAAAAGCCTACTTTCCCATCAAAATCGGTCCTAAGATTATAAGGAACATACACAGTCTTGCAGTCAAATATTCAACGTAAATACATGTTTTGTGAACGTAAGATATATTTTTTTCAATAGTGTACAGTCTTAATAATATGTATAGACAAATATAACAATCTGTTTTTAGTCATATATATGTAAATATACAAACAATCTGTCGCCAGCGACATTTTAAAACAAAGATAAGATAAATCGGCCCTTCTCGAGTTTTAGCTAGACTAACGAATAGCAATTGATCTTTATATATATATACTAGCGGACCCGACAGACGTTGTCCTGTCTGCACGTCTTTAATTTGAATAAATTAATATGAAGTAAATATTTGATGAAAATTGTGAATCTAAACCATTCCCAGATCCCCTTGAACACACACAAAAAATTTCATCAAAATCGCTCCAGTCGTTTGAGAGAAGTTCACTAACATACACACTCACAGAAGAATTATATATATAAAGATATATAGATTTTTTGTATTTTATAAAGCCATTCTTAATTTTAAAAACATCAAAATAAAACTTACCGAAAAATATAACAAAGAAAATATTTAACATTCTAAACTCTGACATTTTTGTAATTTTATTAGATTTAATTAAATAAATAAAAAATGTATTAATTATTCACACCATTATTTGTAACACAAACGATCACAAAGAATTTTCATTACTTAATAAAATAATATAATAATTATAAAGTAAATTTCTAATAATTTATTATCACTTATTTTACAATTAGCTTAATTATCTACATTATAGAAAAGAAAGTCATTTAAATATCCAGGGCCGGTCTTAGAGTAGGGCGCTGTGGGCGACCGCCCAGGGCGCTGTAGGCACAGCGGTTGCCTCCTTCTGCGAGTCAGTCATCTCGCAGAAGGAGGCAAAAGAGCGGGAGCGCGAGGGAGATCCCATGGCGCCCCCGCTCAGACGTAGGAGAGTGGGGCGGAGAAGGCGGCAGTATATTGCCGCCCTCCCCCCCCCACAATAGCCCTCTGGTGATGGATACGGGGGAGACCATCACCAGCGACTGAGGGCGGCCTCCTCTCCCCCCCCCCGTGAGGGAGCTGCCATGGCAGCAGGCGCAGACGGGGCCGCGGACGAGAGCGAAAGCGTGCCCGTGGCCCCGTCCCGATGCGTCAGAGGGCAGTCAGGTTTTAGTGGGTATTCTGGTCACCTTCTGTGGCCGGCGAGTCCCACACTCCCTACGCCATTGCACCGCCCGGCGTAGGCGTGCGTAAACGCATTTCCTGACTATAAAAAAAAAAAAAAAAAAAAAGGGCGCTGTAGGCGACCGACCAGGGCGCTGAACTAAAAGGGGCGGCGTCAGTCAGCGAATTACACTTACATTACTGTTAAACCTTCCAAAGACGTGGAAAAATATAACACCGTAGAAATCTCGTCCTAAACGTCTGTAGAACTAAAAACGTTCTCACTATTTTGTCAATAGTTGAAATCTTACTAATATTATAAATGCGAATGTTTAGATGGATGGATGTTTGTTTGAAGATATCTCCAGAACAGCTGAATGAATCTTGATGAAATTTGGCATATATATAGATCATAGTCTGAAAGAACACATAGACAACTAAATATGTTTTTTTTTATAACAGAAGGGGGAAAACGAACAGTGGGAACACCGAGGTGTTCAACGACGCCCGACATCAGCAACCAGAGGAACCGCAGATGCGTTGCCTTTGAGATAGTGATAAGCTCGCTTCTTGATCCTAAGTCGTAGCGGTTTGAAATACTACCGAAGACAGACCATTCCACAACGCTGCTGTTCGAGGCAGGACGAGGACTTCGCGCAGATGGAGTCGTGGGCGACCGCTAGTTCTTCTCTACTCTTCTTCTTCTTCTATTATAGAAGCAAACGTTAGTATGGTATGGGCATGTTATGACGGAATGATAAGGTTTAGATATGAAAGTGGAGCGGTACACCGGAAAGGATAGATCTTAAAAAGATGGATGGATTGAATAACGTGACATGATCAAGGGAGTGACTGATATGATGGAAGATGGATCTGATGGAAAATCTAGTGCAATGACTACACGAGTGGAATAAAGGCAGAGAAATGATGTAATTATTTTGTTTTTGAGGTAAATAAAACAATTTATAGTTACAGAATGTTTTATTTTAATAATAGAACTAAAAGAGCGTCAGCCACCGACGTGGCTCAATTGACTTGCAATCTACTGGTCTTGGGTTCGAATCCCGCCATGTACCAATGTGTTTTTTGATTTACGATTTACATATGTACATTTATCCGATGTTCTTACGGTGAAGGAAAACATCGTGATGCTGCACATATCTGAGAAGAAATTCAAAGATATGTGTGAAGTTAACCCGCACTTGGCCTGTGGTTGACTATGACCAAGTCATTAACTTAGGGTAGGTTATGAGCCCCTCAGTGGGGACGTATAGTGAGCTGATGATATATATAGAACTAAATACCTAAATAATAACTACTATTTATAGAGGAAATTGATATTTATATAATATTAATAATCAAAATACTTATATAAAATACGCATAAAACTTAAGATTATGCTTATAAATATAATTTTATGAAATCTTCATACTTTATAATAGCTGTAAAACTTGTTAAAGAGTCGACATTGCAAGATATGTCGTTACTTAACAAAGGGCTGGTTGAGGCGATACCGCGAAGGTAATAGCGTGATACACCGGACACCTCAGAAAGGAAGGCGAGTCCACCACCACTGTCGCCCCTACATAAAGCCTCCCCTGTGGATAAAATGGGAACTTAATTCTGCTAATTTTCAATATTATTCAGCTATTTTAAGCTTTAATAGTAGCAAAGCTATTTCCCTTAATTTACTATTTCTTGTACCATTCTAAGCTCTATGTTTGTGCTAGGATATGTTTTACAATAGTCGAATGTCGGGATTCGAACCACCGACCTTGTGATCGGAAATCCGATCGAAATAGAGCAGTGTTACAAAGACTTTTTTTACTTTTTATTAAGCTAAAATTTATGTTAAAATTCCATAATTTGATAAAACTGTAGGGTAACATTAAAGGTTAAGTATTTCTTATCGCAACATAACGTTTAGAATCATTGTATCTCACCATCCAACGATCCAGCACATATCTTGTCATACACCACATAATGTTTGAGCTGTCGTGATGTCAAATTGATACATCTATCCAGATCCTCGTAAGGCAATTCAATCACTTTCAACTCCTGGGACTCAGAGCCTCTGTATTTTGTTGTTAAACCCCAACCAGCCGCCTACAAATTTTAACAGACTTCGAAATTGCTCAATTCATCTGTATGTATTGAAGCGTCGGTGACTCAGGGGTCACATGACTTGCAATCTGCAGGTCCTGGGTTCGAATCCCGCCATGAACCAATGTGCTTTTCTATTTCCGATATACACATGTACATTTATCCGATGTTACGGTGAAGGAAAACATTGTGATGCTGCACATATCTGAGAATAAATTCAAATATATGTGTGAAGTCACTGCACTTGGCCAGCGTAGTTGACTGTGGCCTAATCACCCTTAACTTAGGGTAGATCCCGAGTGAGCTGATGATGCTGATTGGGAAAGCTTACCTTACCACCTAGTGGTACAGAGAGAGATTTTCCAACATTAACTGCTTCAATGGACCCCTTGCTATAATTTATAAGTTGAAGAATTCTCAAAACTTATTTTTTAGCTTTCACCCAGCTGGACCATTTTAGAAGTACAACCAGATAGAACTTAATCTAACAGTACCCACCTTTCCCAGCTGTCCGCTCTGCAGCTGTTCATTATTGAAGTCAGGCCTGAAGTCTAAGCATACAGGGCTGACATGCAACTTGTATTCAAACGGCTTTGTCACCACAACCACTGCGATGTCATGGTGATAGTCTAATTCTATACCACGATATAGTTTTGGTACTGCTATCTTACTAATCTGTTGGTGATAGTGATAGTGGGTTATATAGGTTGACATGGAGGGTGATTTTTAGAGCGCCTGCTTTTTTACAATGCCTTTACGTGAGACTGAGTAAATTATTCAAACTTTCGTGAGACATTATACTAAACTGATATATAAACACGGCTAAACACTCACCGACCGATGGGCTCGAAACTAGTCGGTGCCGCCACCGGACGTATATACGTGAGTGTTTAGTCGTGAGACTGAGTAATTTCAAGACCTATGGCGCGCCTACCTATCTTTTATTTAAGCAATTGAAATTAAATAAAATCTCTGTGTGAGAGGAAGTTTATCATTACAGTTAAGTAAAAACCGCATTCAAATCTATTAAGCCATTTCTGAAATTAATACACGAAGCCACAGACAAAAATTTAAATTAAAAACCTAAAACTTGATCTTAAAGCTAAACTAAGCTATAAAACTCTGTGGAAGAAGACGAATCGAATGATACCTCACTCGTCTAATTAGGCCGTCACAATGGAATAATATGGTCTTATCTTACGGTGAAGGAAAACATCGTGATGCTACACATATCTGAGAAAAAATTCAAAGATTTTTGTGAAGTCAACCCGCACTTGGCCAGCATGGTTAATGGTTTAATTACCCTTAGACTCCGAGCCCCTCGATGGGGACGTATAGTCAGACTTATAAGTGATGCTTACATTAGACTTTTGCACGAATCTTTCGTCTTTTACATGATCCCAATCACGGTACAGTTTGCCGACAGCCACAGCGTAGTTATGTTTGTTCTCTAACCGTTTGGTAACCTCATTCCAGAAACAATGTGCGGCTGTATCATCAACAAATTGGTATAATTATATTCAGATAACTTTGCGCAAGTCACTGACAAAATTTCATGTGTTAGGTTAGTACCTGCGCAGCACGCAGATATATTTGAGCTGCTAAGATATGTAAAGACCACGACCATAAAGAATGGAAAGTGGAAGCTATTATTCTGATGAGTGTGCGGGCCAAAGGCCTAATTTTAGTCTCCTTTTCCTTCCCACTCTTTTCTTATAAGGAACGAAAGGTGATTTGATTTGGGGAAGGTAGGTTGAGGAATGTGGTGCGGTATACTAGTAGTTGTAGGCATAGAAATAAATAGATAGGGGGATAGGTGACATTATTAAGAAGGGGTTGACGACTGAAATAATGCGCGTTCATAAAGAATAGAATAAGTATAGGAAGATAATGAAAGATAGTAAGGGAATTTCAAAAACCATAAGGATTGGATTTGAGAGCTTCAGTGCCTTAAGGGATAAAGCACTTGACTTGCAGTCTAAAGGTCCTGGATTCGAATCCCGCCATGTACATACGTATTTCCACACATATGTACATTTATCTGAAGTTACGTTGAAGGAAAACATCGTGATGCTGCACATATCTGTGAAGAAATTCAGTGAGTGATGGACTGGGCATTGACTATGACCTAGTCTCTTAGGGTAGGCTCTGAGACCCTCAGTGAGGACATATAGTGAACTGATGATAAAATTGTCTTTTTTTATCATCCACTGACCTGAGAGTATCACAGTAGTACTAACAAGAGATCCACCACAGATCTGCTGGTAGTTATTCACAGATGGATTTTTGACGTATATCCCCGCATGCCATGGTACTTCACCATTCCTGGCTGTCTCCCCACCTAGTACTAACTGGGAGACAATTGGTGGTGTTGTACCACATTCTGAAAATGGGAATAATAAGTTTTAAATTCGGACTTTTTTGTTACAAATTCGTACACCTCCATGTGATTTGATAAACTACCGATTTAAAAAGAGTTTTATTTACCCGACTCACCAGACGATTATGTTTTTTGATTTGCAAATGGAATAAAATATTAAAAACGAATAATTTACTAAAATATATTATTAAAAGGAGTCCCTTTAGGCAAGGTCTTGAAGATACTGGCAGCCCTTTGGATAGCTAAACCAATTCTTTGACCGGGGTAGCTGCCAGCTCTTCGGTCCCCTTTGATGTCGATTATTTTTTTGGATATGTCCTTAAAAAGTCTTAAATCGATTTGATTTTTGAAAAATTTGAATACTTGATTAGAAGAGCAGAATTTTAGGAATTTGACATCTTAATATTATAAATACGAAAGTGTAGATGTATGGATGTTTGTTAGAAGGTATCTGCAGAACGGGTCAACGGAACTCGATGAAATATGGCACAGACGTAGAACATAGGCTACTTAAGTTATTCGGGCGAGGACAGAATCGCGGGCGAAAACTAGTAACAATTATATCAGTACCATTATGACCTGTAACCTAGATTACAACCGACGTATGTCTTATTCTTCTTCGTGACCTTAAGTAAGAATTCTCACCTGCAACACAAACAGGTCCTGAGCTCCAAGCACCCTGACTGCACTGCATATAGGGCAACTCAACTGGCGAGTAGTAATGCGGCTGTTTGCACGCGGGTCTTACTATCGCACCTTCCACCTCCTCCTCCTCACACTGACGAGGTGTCTCCAGGTCTTCTTCTGTGCACTGGTATTCTATACTGGGGTCTTTACGGAGGGGACAAGTTTCTATACAAAAAGAGATTTAAGATTAGATGAGAATCGATTGGGGTTGTTACGCTAACACATTTCGTTACAAGAAGAGACGAAAGATAATAAAATTGGGTGGAGCGAAAGAGAGAAATATATACAACAAGGAGTCTGTGGAGTAAAATATCTGTTGCCTTATATATAGTGGGTCAAGAACTTGGCTATGATGGGACCCTCGGAGGCTCAGGGGTTAAACACTTGACTTGGGGTTCGAATCCCGCCATGTACCAATGTGTTTTACATATGTTTCCACCTCCACATATCTGTGAAGAAATTCAAAGATATGTGCGAAGTCATGCACTGGGCCGGCATTGATTATGACCTAGTCTCCTTACTTAAGGCAGCCTTCGAGCACCTCAGTAGGGACCTACTGAGGTGCTCGAAGGGAGCTGATGATGTAAGACAAATTGAGAATATTTGACTTTGCCATTGTTTTTTTATATAACTTACGTATACAATACGGTATCCTAGGCCAGACCCCTCTCCAGCACAATATCTTAGGTTCCCCAATCAGTCTGAATCCGGGATAACAATCATACTGCAAATATACATAATCTGCATCGCTAGAATTAGTCTCACTAATAATTCTATACACGCCATTCTGAGGCTCCGGTGGTAGGACGCATCTGGGAAAAGCAAAGCACTCGATACATGGAAAGAATGAAGAAGATCATGATTACAAGGCAATACTTACTTAGGTGTAACAACTGGAGCCTGAGTCGTTGAGACATCTGTCACCTTGATTAAAGTCAAACGACCACATATATCCAAACGTTCATCGGATCCATCACGACATTCTGCGGTCTAAAAACGTATTATTTTCCTCAAAAGACCGACGATCGAAATGTTCTTACGGCAAAGGATCTTAGGGAATGTAACCCATACTACGTGACCCGTTTAGGGAGGGGGGGAGGAGAGTCCTTAAAATACTACGGTCAATCACAGGAGGGGGGAGTGGCTCAGATTTTTGTCACGTACTTGTTATTTTTCATAATACATAATTCACTAGTAATTTAAGAATGCATGCAGTCTTATGCTATAAAGAAGAGTATGAGCCAAATTATTTCTTTTCTACTAAAGAGGGAGGAGTCTTAGAATATATTACGAGTGGTCACCGAGGGGAGGGAGAGGTCGAAAAAACTAAAAAAATTAGTCACGTAGTATGGATATGTTCCCTTAATGCATAATATCTGCGAAGAAATATCAAAGATATGTGTGAAATCACTGGATCAGCATTGACTATGACCTAGTTAACTTAGCGTAGGCTCTTATGGCTGCAGGTAGGTGATGTTAATAAGCTGATTGTATACACTTACACCATTACATAGAGACTTGCCATCCACACATCCACCGTATTCACACACAAACTGTCCTACATCACAAGTAATATTGACACAGGCGGCTATATTCTCGTCTGTGCCATCCGCACAATCATTGACACCATCGCAACGCCCCTTCTTTGGTATTAACTGTCCGTTACGACATATAAAGTTATCACTGGAATATCAAACATTATTGAAGCTAAATTGTTCACGTTCATGAGACTGAACAGTGGTAGAGCCCGCTTTAACATCATCGCACGAATTGGCCCGGCTAGCCTGGTGAAATACCACGACCACACAAGACACGCCTCAAGTGGAAGCAATTCCGCGTGCAGTCCGATGAGTGTGCGCCCCTTAGGCCTAATTTAGTCCTCTTTCTCTTCCCACCCTTTTTCTTATAAGGAAAGGATGGGAAGTGGAAGTGGACTTTCTGGATGAGAGGATGCATGGGAAGGAAAAATATTTTCTTTCTGTGCATCCTCTTCTCCGTCGATTAAAGGTAGGCAACGCATATGCAATTGCGTATGTCATGGGCAACGGTCACTTCGCTATTTCAGGTGGCCGCTCGCTCGATTGTTACTTTATGATAAAAAAAAAATCGCCCGCGAATCCGTCATACTGTGTTCTACATCTATACCAAATTTCAGCAGGACCCATACAGGCAGTTTGTAGATGCCTACAAACAAATATTCCACGTTGACTAGAGTCGCGGGCGACAGCTAGTAAAGCATCACTCACCCGTCTGTTAATTTAATTCCAGTACATTTCTCAGTTAATTCATCAGAACCATCAACGCAGTCAACTCTTTTGTTACAAACATCATTGTATCTATCTATACAAGCGCCGTAGTTGCAGCGAAACTGATTGGCACGGCATCTATGATAATAAATAAGCCAGGGCCGGATTCAGCATTTCCAGCGCCCTGGGCGACATTTGCGGCGCCCACTTTTTTAGTGTCTAGACAAATCTTCCGAAGATAAAATATCTAAGACGGCGCCCCAAGCGCCCATTTCTATTCGATTTTGGCGCCTACGACACCCCCTTATTTCCGGAGCCCTGCGTGGTCGCCCTACCCTATCTCTCTGTGCTTCACCCGCTGCAGTACCACGACCACACAGAAGACACGCCTCAAGTGCGAACTCATTCCAACTACAGTCTGGTGTGCGTGTTAGACGCAAAATTTTAGTCTTATTTTCTTATAAAAAAGATGTGATGGAGGGGACGCATAAAAAGGGGAAATCTTCTCTTTCTATGTGTCTCTGTCGATTAAAGGTAAGCAACCCATCTGCAATTACGTCGAATTCAGGTGGCCGCTTGCTCGTTTGCCACCTTATAATATCAAAAACTACGTATAAAAAGGACTGGATAATTAAGCAGTCAGTCGAGAAAAAATGAGGCTCCAATGAGCGTCTTGTTTACTTTTTAAATAAAATTTGCCTACACCAATATACTTACTTTCTATTCCTACAAATTGAGAAGGACTCATCACTGCCGTCAACACAGTCGTAGACACCATCGCAATCGCTATTAGCTCTAACACATGACCCGTCCTTACATTCATATTCATTGTAACTGAAATGTGTTAGTAAACAGCAATTATAGTGCGTCTTAAGATAGATTAGTTTGACAAGTGACATCTATGATGGAATTGATATTGTATAAATACTAATGTCGTACTTAATGGATAGTTGTTATAGTGTCGCAGTGTACGCGTATAACTATCAGGACTGTTGAACTAGCTGTCGCCCAAGAGTTCATCCGCGCGGAATTAAAAAATAACATTAGCCTATGTGTTCTTCCAGACTATGTTCTATATTTATGTCAAATTTCAGCAAGATCCGTTCCGCCGTTCTGGAGATACTTTCAAACATACATCCATCCAAACATTCACATTTATAATATTTAAGATTAATAAGAAGTAAGATAACACAAAGTTAAACTCACCTACATTCATCTAGATCTCGTTTATTTCTAATTAATGATACATTCCGACTATAAGATTCGTAAGATCTAAAAAAATAACAAAGTGTTCATACAATATTCAATAAAATAACCTAGAAAAATTAAGCTTAAAAACTTCGTTTAAAAATAGTTTAAAACATATTTTACCTGATAAAATCATTATTGTAAAGAACTGATGCTTTTATTTCAAATATACATATACCTGTAAAACAAAAACTCATCATAATTAATATCATAAAGTTTTTTCATTGTATCACAAATAACCTAAAAAAAAAATGTAATACGACATATGATCCGTTCAAAAACATTACAACAGTTATAACACTTTTAAAAATGCAAAAAAAAACAAAATTAAAACTCATATAACATTCAAAAAACGATTAAACAAAGAAATTATAATTAAACGTTGCAATGGGGTAGGGTTTTGATCAGCTGTATAACTTCGTAATAATTGATTCACAATAATAAACTTACCAATAAATAATATTAATCGTAACATATTAAAAACACTGCAAATAACACTTTTAAATCGTTAACGCAAGACAAAAAGTTATAGTAAATTATCCATTTTGTTTTGTTTGTACATTTATAAAGGTCGACCTATAACCTCAAACTGAGATAAACGAGTCATTTCAAAACTAGTTTCTTGACACGTTAGTTTCTATACGTTTTTTGTGATTAATTGTGTAAATGTATTGGAAATCGATTATTAAAAGGATTGTATATTCTGAAATATCGACTAAAAATAAAATATTTAATTAATTTTTTATGTAGTAACCAGCTGTCGCCCGCGCGGAATTAAAAAAACTAAGTAGAATGTGTCCTTCCAGACTATGTTCTATATGTATGCCAAATTTCAAACAAATATCCATCTAAACCAGTGGTTCCCAAACTTATTTTGTCTACTGCCCACTTTGAGAAAAAAAATTTAGCGCCCCCATATTTTCACATATTTAAAAACCACTAACCCTTCAAAATTAATTAATGATTGTGACCTATATATGTATATTAACGGAGAATTCTAAAGGAAACTTTTACTATAACCCGCAACTTGAGACCTGCAGCGCCCACAAGGGGACGTTATCGCACACTTTGGGAAACATCTGATCTAAACATTCGCATTTATAATATTAGTAAGAAGTGTTTTAAAAGATTTGTCCAATTTTAAAATCTACGTATAAAAAAATTGCTGAAACACGTAGTCGACGTGAATGTCTGCAGACCATGGGATCTTGGTCCAATATAAAACAAAACTCCACAAACGTCATTATTATAATAAAAGACAATAAAATTTCGTAAAAATATATTTAAAATCTACAAATAAAGTAAATCACGGATACCAATACGCTTTAACAAATTTCTCAAACTTAATAACTGATGTGAAACTGGTTAAAGCTCGAACATTACATACTGTCACATCATTAGACGGTGGACTGGTAGATGCAACTCCTCGGAGATAAAACCTAGCCTTACCATCCTCATCCCAGGGGAATGCCAGACCACCACCACTGTCACCACGACAGAGAGCCTCACCTAAATAAAAAATAACCTTCAAAATACACATTCTTTTATATTACTGCTGCCCCTGCACATCCAAAATTACAGATGCGTTGGACCTTTGTTTAACAATAAAGAAGACGCACAAAAAGAGAATATTTCCCCTTCTTTTGTCTCATCTCCTCTATCAAAGTCACTTCCCCTTCCCATCCTCTCCTTTTAACAATATGATGGAAAGGGATAAAGGACTAAATTAAGCATCTAGAACGCACATCATCAGACGGAACGCGGAATGTCTTCTTCCCTAAGTGCCTCTCCATTTAATGGAGGTTGGTCGTCAGCTTTTTGCCGGTCTTGCGCCAAGCGATATGAGTCTTCTGTGTGGTCGTAGTATTGCACCAGGCGAGGTCCACTAAGGAATCTCCACTAAGGGAGACCAGTAAAAGACTCTACATAAGGTAAAGAGACTGCAAACACCCACGCGTTACCTAGAAGACCTTAGTTACCTACCGAGAAGACGGGACCTACAGAGGATAAATCCCATTTCTGTTGTTCCCCTTCCCCGAAAAGTCTATTTCTTCTCATTATTTCCTTAAAAGAACTGGATAAGAAAGGAAAGTAAACTAGAAGTCCAGCACACAAGTTCCTCAGACTAATTTCTAGTATCAGGACGACATAAATCAAAAGTACTCACCATCCAAAGATCCTGCGCAGATCTTGTCATCATATGTGAGGTATCGAGACAACGCTGGTGATGTTAGATTCAAACAGCTTTCATAGTTCTCGTAAGGTAACTCTATGACCTTCAGTCTGGGGGCTTCAGAGCCTGCTAATCCGGTAGTCAAGCCCCAACCTGCTGCCTGGAGATTGGATAACAAAATATTTTGCAGAGCTACGGGACACATAAAAGACCATTTCCCTTTCCTATGCGTCACCTTCTTTATCAAATTCACTTTCCCTTCCCATCCTTACCTTATAAAAAAGGGTGGGATAGGAAACAGGACTAAAATGAGTCCTTCAGCACACATACTTATCAGACTGTACTTGGAATTGCTTCCACTTGAGGCGTGTCTTCTGTGTGGTCGTGGTATTGCACTGGACGAGGCCTATTAGTGCAACAGATTAAAATCTTCATTAAGATTAAGCACTTGACTCGCAATCTTCAGGTCCTGAGTTCGAAACCCACCAAGTAACAATGTGTTTTTCGATTTCCGATTTACATATGTACATTTATCCGATATTACGGTAAAGGAAAACATGGTGATGCAACCTGCACATATCTGAGAAGAAATTCAAAGATATATGTGAAGTCAACCCGCACTTGGCCTGTGGTTGACTTCACACATGCCCCTCGGTGGGGACGTATGAACTGATGATGATCCATTTATATTTCTTTTTACCTTGCCACGGTTTCCATTCCTAAGTTGCAGATTACCTAATTCTTCAGTAAAGTCTAGACAAACAGGTACTACGTGCGGCTTGTATTGGAATGCTTGTGTCGCGAATACTAAGGCTATATCATTTTTGTAGTACAACTCTAAACCACGATACAGTTTTGGCACTATTATATCTGATACCTTGAACAAATATTAATAAAACTGTAGGAATTGTAATCAAGAAGATTCGAACCCCATCAGGTGTTTCTAGTTTTTAGGACCTATGAACATTTATCTGACGTTACGGTGAAGGAAAACGTGATGCTGCACATATCTGAGAAGAAATTCAAAGATATGTGTGAAGTCACGCACTGGACTTGTGGTTGAGGACCCAGAGATTGTATACAATTTAGTGTAAATTCCATTAAAACTGAAGAATTGAAATAAAATTGAGTAACATATTACTAATCTTACCAATACTAGAAAAGGGAATGTTAAGATGGATGGATGGATGTTTATTTGAAGGCAGCTCCAGAACGGCTGAACGGATCTTGATGAAATTTGGCACACATATAGAACATCTGGAAGAAGACATAAGCTATTCATCAGCTAGTCTCTTATAGCATGTAAGTTGAAATTACTCAAGCCAATACCCTAGAGGATAAGGCAGAGAATAAAGAATTCCTGACTGCAAGAAGGTTTACACATAAACTCTAAAAGTAACTTACGCCAGATTTCTGGACATATAGTTCGTCATTTGGATGATTCCAGTCCCTATACAGTTTGCCTACTGCTAGAGAGTACCACATTGGGCGATTTAGGCCCCTTATATCTTCATTCCAAAAGCAATGGGCAGCTGAAAATTTCTCTACTAAATTTGATGATCTGCAGATCACTGTTAATATGTGCGAAGTGGATCAATGAATCGATTCATAGCTCGGTTCATTTGTATTTCAAATGTTATGATTTGCGTTTCGGGCTGCGATTTACAAGGCAACAGGCAGCTCGCGGCTCGTCGATTAACATAGGCCTAATACACAAGGCAAAGAAAAGCTTCGAAACCCATGTATTAGTCGCTAAGACTACGGTAAATCGGTCGCCGACATTTCTATCTGTCATCGCCAAAGTAGCTCACAATCTGTTTGTCAAGATCGTCTTGAGAAAGTCGTTGTAAAATTCAATATGTCGAGGTTACTATAGTTGTCATGTCGCTATGTCTGTACTGATAGAACAGACTCGTGTCAAGTTCAACGTTGTGTGCACACGCAACGCGATACGTTAGTTTCGAAGATTTATGTTGCTTTGTGTGCTATAGAGCCGTAACTCAACGGTTCAGAACTGATTTACACATACGCACTAAGATTAGTTAAAGTGTAATTTAGTGTAAAAGTGTATATGAGTAAGTGTGTAATTGTAACACCTGTATGTTACACTTGGCAAAGATGAACTCTGAGTGTTACCTGATAACACAACAGTGTTACTAATCAGAGATCCACCGCAGATCTGTACATGTGTCTTGCTCATTGGATTTTTAAAATAAATGCCAACATGCCATGGCACTTCTGCGAATCGAGCATCACGACCACGTAGTACTAACGGGGTAGACTTAGGTGGTTGTACACCGCATTCTAAAAAATATATAATTTTTTTAACATCAGTGAGGGTAAGAATACATATAGAATGACATCTTCAAGATTAACCAGTTTCCGAGACTAAAATTCCCGTTAAAAACGTATTAGTATGTCAACGACATGTTTTATACAGAGATGTTGGGTCTCAGAAACCGACAGTTTATTGTTTAGACTACTGTGGGCCTAATACAAATATTTATAAACAAAATTTGTATTAAAGTATGTGCAGAGTTTACCGGGTTTAAAGTACACCAACGAATCTCATACAAATGACATATTTGTCGACGTTACGAAATGGCGTGTCGCAAATATTCGTGCTAGGCCCACTGTTCTCAGTGGAATCGACATACAATCCTACAAAAATAAACATCTTCTGCATATTTCATATAATAATATTTTTTAATAAATAATAGCGCCATCTATTGATTAACAAACTTTTTAAATCAGCGCCATCTATTTTTAATACAGTTTTTTTTTGTTTTGGTACTTCAAAATTCTCCTATCCCTCCTCTCTCATAATTCAAATACCAATTTTGTTTTTATTCAAATATTTTGACAGTAAAAACTCATTACTTACCTACAGCACAAGCAGGTCCTGAAGTCCAAACACCCTGTATACAATGCATATACGGCAATTCTACTGGAGAGTAATAATGAGGTGCTTTACAAGATGTCTTTACCACAGTGCCTTCTATTTCCTCTGTATAACAAGCTCTGGGTTTCCCTGACTCTTCAAAGCATTCGTAATCAACACTTAAATGTTTAATCAGTTCACAAGTTTCTAGAAGAATAAAGAAGGAAGTCATTTCTTAGTCAAACAAACGAGCATGCTCAATTGCAAATGCGACAGAAGAGGGGACGAACAGAAAGTGAATATTTCTCCAACCCAATCGCTAGGTACATACTTACGTATACATCTTGGTTTTTCCTGCCATATACCATTGAGACAAACCACTTTAACTTCTCCAACTAACTTAAAGCCCTGATCACAGGAATACTCCAACGAGAGATAGTCTACTTCAGTTGTGTTTGTTTCTCTTATAACATTATATGAGCCATTGGTTGGTGCTTCAGGTATTGTGCATCTAAGTGTGTAATCAAAAATGTGGCTAGTTTTATAAAAACGGCTAAAACACTCATGTACATTCGTCCGATGGAACCGACTAGTTTTGAGTCCATTAGGGGCCCTTCATCAGGGTGAATGGGACTGGTATTATTTCGCGGACGAAGCCCGTCGTTCTCACGTCACTCACCCTGATTAAGGGCCTCCGATGGACTCAAAACTAGTCAGTGCCACCGGACGTACATACACGAGTGTTTGAACTGTTTTTATATAAGTTTACTTTATCTAGTTGTAGAACATACTTAGGAGGTTCTGTAACTGGTTCGGGAGTTGTTGGCCTGATAAGTGTACGTACTCCACACAATTCCACCTTCTCATCTGATTCATCCACACATTCTATTGTCTGTAGGAAAGTAATTGATAAGCAATTGCATTTATGAAAAAAGAACTATTCAAATACATGCTGTGACTGCAGTCATCTTCATAACAAAGAAGTATCTTTACTCATTGTAGCATTCGTTGCGTTATATTTGGCTCGTTCATGTACCGACACGTGTTGCCGGTCCAAAGGTCTGACATGTGTTGCCGGTCCAAAGGTCTGACATGTGTTGCCGGTTCAAAGGTCTGACATCGACTGACGTACCCTCTATCCGGCATGTACTTATGGCGTGTACGCTCGAGACAAACAACACTACGTTTATGCATACACTACACTCATGATTATATAACCATAGACAAAGCATCAGTAGCTCAGGGGTTAAGCACTTGACTTGTAATCTGCAGGTCTTGGGTTCAAATTCTGTCATATAGCAATGTATTTTGTGTATCTATCTGACGTTCTTACTTTGAAGGAAAACAAGAAGCTGCATATATATGAAGAAGTATCAAAGATATATGAAGTCACTACACTAGGCCGTTGACTATGACCTAGTTAACTTAAGGTAGTCTCCCGAGTTGGGGACGTATAGTGAGCTGATGATTCATTACCACTTACCCGATTACACTGTGCCTCAGCATCCACACATCCACCGTATTCACATTGAAATTGATCCTCGTTGCAAGTCAATTCCGCGCAAGATGATAACGTCTCATCAGATCGATCGTTACAATCTACAATACCATTGCAACGACGGTCTAGTGGTAGCAACTGACCGTCTAGACATCTGAACTTATCACTGAAGTAAGAAAATTGTTGATTTTGAATAACTTATTGATAGATAAACATATCTGAGAAGAATGTACAGAGTGGGATAAGTAAAGTGAGAAATTAATATATGATTTGACATGATATATATTTTTAAGAGAACTGGGCAAACGAGCGGCTTGAACACCGAGGTGATCAACGACACTCATGGACAACTGCAACACCAGAGGAACTGCAGATGCCTTTAACGAAATGGTATGCTCGCTTCTTGAAGGTCCCCAAGTCGTATTTGTTTGGAAATACCGCCGTGGACCGACCATTCCACAACGCTGATGTTCGAGGCAATCGAAATTGCGCGAGAATCGCACTGATATTATATTATATGACACGATATATTTACTGACCCTTCTATAATAGTCTGTCCTTTACATCTGGGCAATTGCTCATCGGAGTCATCAGGGCATTCTTGCTTGTGGTTGCAGGGAGCTGATTCGTCAACACACGCACCATAGTTACAACGAAATGTAAATGCATCACATCTGAAAACAATAGTCGAGGACATTTATTCCCTACTCTTCATTTGACGCTGACAAGACATAAATGCGTGTAAATAACTCTTCGTACATAAGGCAAAGAAAATCTTCGAAAATTGGCGATTTTGAAACGCGAACGACTATGCAATACTTTGATACAAAGGTTCGCATGCAGCGTAAATCGCCAATATTTCTATGCGTCATCGAGTGCCATCGCCAAAGACAGTACCTTGCTACCTATTTGTCTTGAGAAAAGTAATGCGGAGCTAGACAAAGTGTTCGTTATGGAATCGCTTTAGTGCGAATGCACTTTGTCTTACCTTCTCGCCAATAGATGACTCATTTAGACGACTGTATACGGCATACGAAAGCGTGCAACGGGATTCTCGTGACGTAACAATACGATATTTAGTTCGTTCGATTTATGTGGCCTTGTGTAAGAAGGGCCTTTTACTAATATACTTACTCATGATTTCTGCATAATTCAAAGGTCTCGTCACTGCCGTCAGGACAATCTATGATGCCATCACAATCGCTATTGATCCTTACACATGTCCCTTCGTTGCATCTCCATTCGTTCATACTGGTGGCGAAGAAAAAAATACGAATTTTGGTATAAAAACTTTTTAGTGCTAACGCCATCTATTGTGTTGATTTACTAATATTTTAAATTTCGAATGTTTAGATGGATGCTTGAAGGTATGTAAAGAAAGGCTAAACGAATCTCGATAAAATTTGGTATACATATAGAACATAGTCATAGTAATACATAGGCTACTAATTATGTTTATTTTCTTTAATTCCTCGCGGACGGAGTAGCGGGCTACAGCTAGTCCTCTATAAATAGACAGGCTATAAACAATTGTATTTTGCACCTATTCGAATTTCGCCATTTTGCCGCTGATGGTAGTGAATTTCGAACTAATAATAGCATATTATTAAGGCTTTATCTTTTGGTTGGTGTATAGCGCGATGTACCTCGAAAGCCAAATAAAAGGATAAAAGGAGGTTACATGTTTGAATACTTACCTACAATCTGGTTCGTCTCGTTTTTGCCGGCTATGACTTATATTGTGCCAGTGCGTACTGAAAAACAAAATTTTAATTTAGCTGTTGTAGATCAAAATAAAATTCTTTGTTTAATTTCATACAGTCCCATTTATATTTTGTGAGAGTTACATTATCGTCAATAAATGACGCTAAGAGTTTTGCCGTAAATCTTACTATCTTACTAATATTATAAATTACCGGAACGGCTGCACGGATCTCACTTAAAATTTGGCATAAATGTACAACATAGACTGGAATCTACTGCTGAATCCGCTCCTGGTGGAATTGGAGGAGATGGGCGTCCGCTGCCAGGCATTTGCTGACGATGTGGTCCTGATGTTCTCGGGAGAAGGAGCCGGTGACGTGGAGGGTGTAGCCAATGGGGCTCTCGAACATGTTCGGAAGTGGGGTGTACGTAACAAACTTAACTTCGCGCCACAGAAAACCATGGCAATGGTGATTACCAGAAAATTGAAGCACGACACCCCACGGCTGAGCATGGGCGGGGGGCCCATTGTGCTCACCAAGGAGATGAGGATCCTGGGGTTAACAGTTGACGATAGACTCAGTTTTAAGACGCACATTGAAAATGTTTCCAAAAAAGCGCAAACGATCTATCGTCAACTGTCAACCGCAGCGAGGGTCACGTGGGGGCTGAACCCCGAGGTCATCAGGACCATATACGTTGCGGTAGCGGAGCCTGTTGTCCTCTACGCGGCCAGTGTGTGGGCTCCGGCTGTGGAAAGGAAGAGCATTCGTGCCTTGTTAGGGCGGGTGCAGCGCGGGTTTGCGCAGAAAATTGTGAAATCGTATAGGACGGTCTCTCTGCACTCGGCCCTAACACTTGCTGGGTTGCTTCCTCTGGAACTTCGGGTCCAAGAAGCGGCCCTCTTTTACTTGGTAAAAAAGGGTCATACCCACCAGGTGTTGGGAGACCTTGTGCTCGAGAGGCCGGTAAAGTTTGTAGAGTCTGCGCACCCCGCGCTGCAAGAGGGTCTGCAATTCGACTGCCTGGCCGGCGGTGACGAAGCAGCCCAGCGAGCTACCGTCGAGGTAAATATTTACACCGACGGTAGCAAAATAGACGGCAAAGTCGGCGCGGCGTTATCCGTTTGGAATGGCGCCGCGGAGATCTTTTGCCGGAAATTAAAGTTGGGAAGCTTTTGCACCGTCTACCAGGCGGAATTGCTGGCCCTCAGAGAGGCCGTGAAGTATGTTGTGAGAAGCAATGAAAGGAGCTTTGGTCTTTATTCCGACTCAAGGTCAGCGCTCGAGACATTGAGAAGCGGCGTTTCTCTCCATCCCCTCGCGAATGGTATAAGGGAAGATTTAAAAGAGGCTAGAGAGCAAGGAAAATGTGTGAAAGCGTTTTGGGTGAAAGCGCACGCGGGGCTGGAGGGAAACGAACGAGCAGATGAACTCGCAAAGGCGGCCGCAGTCGGGATGAAGACCAAGCCTAATTATGAAAGGTGCCCTGTTTCATTTGTCAAGCGACAGATTCGTCTGGATGCGCTTGACAAATGGAACAGGCGGTATATGGAAGGAGTCACGGCCTCAACGACGAAGCTCTTCTTTCCCGATGCTGTAGCAGCCTACCCTACAATCCGGAGCCTCGAGTTGGACCCCGTGCTGGTTCAGGTTTTAACTGGGCACGGGGGGTTCTCCGAATACCTGCACAAGTTTAAGTGCAAGGGGGACCCCTCTTGCGTTTGTGACCCAGCACGGGGTGAATCCGTGCTGCACATACTCACGGAGTGCCCGATTTTTGCAGCGAAAAGAGCTGAATTTGAAATTAAAATGAAAGAGAAAATTGTGGAGGAGAATTTGGTTAATTTAATAAATAATAAAAAGACACGCGGGCACTTCGTGGAGTATTGCCGATCCTTGGCCAAAATAGTAATAAATAGAAATAAGACCTAAACTGTGATATATTTTAATTGGATTTTAATTTATGTTTTACTATTAATTTTTAATTTGTATTTTATTTGAATTTTAATTTTAATTTATTGAATTTTAATTTGGCTTTATTGTATATTTTAATTTTAAATTAGTATTAGTTTGGGTCTTATTTGTATTTTATTGTAATTTATTTGTATTTTAACTTGTATATTTTTTAAATTTGAATTTTTTAAATTGTATTTATCAGATATTTTATTGTAAATTTTAATAGTTTTAACATCGTATTTAAATTGAAATTGTAAATAGTCTTAAGAAATTTGTAAAGTTTTATTGATTTTTAATTTAATAAAGAAATAAAGATTGTTGTCGCATCTAAGGTCCCTGACCACCATGTTAGGGGAACGAGAGGGCGGCATAGCGCCGCCCAAAAAAAAAAAAAAAAAAAAAAAAAAAAAACATAGACTGGAAGAACACATAGGCTACTTATTGTTTCTTTAATTCCGCGCGAACGGAGTCGCGGGCAACAGCTAGTACTTCATAAAAAGGAAAATATTTATGAATTTTCAAAAGCACTTACCCTCTATCATAAACATCGTAGACCACTGATGCTTGCAAAACTGACACCAAGGCTGAAGACAAGCATTAAATAGATGGATACCAAAAGGAAGAAAAACACATCATAATCTCTACATTATTGTAAAATAAGCTCGCTTTAAACTTCCATGATAAACAACTATTTATTCTTGTAGCATATTCAATAATAAATAATTATTATTTTTTTAACTGTCAAATAATGGCGCGCGGAAAAGTAAAGCTGTGACGTCATACAAAATCATAGACTATAAAACATCTGCTGTCATTTTTTAAAATATGCGATTTAAAGTTAACAAACATAACGCAGACGAGTTGTGTCTATTATTAATTTAAAGAAAAAGAAAACAAAGAAATGTTCAATTTTATAACAATTTTTTTAAGTTAAATTACTAAATTACATTTCAATAAATAACGTGTTATGTTATGAATACACTACTAATAATGGTATATAATTTTAAAGGAAATTTTATTACATAATGAACAAATATTCTGTCTAGATATATCCAAAAACTTCTTCTTGAAAAAAGAATCAATGTTTAAAAGCAATTCAAAGTGTGTATAAATAAAATTGTAAATAAAGTACTCACTTACAAGGAAAACGTAGTACGTCTTGTCACGCATATTTGTCATATTACCGATTAAATTATTATTTTAGATGTAATTTTAGCATATTCAAAAGATATACATTTAGTTGATATTTACAATAAATCAATGTAAAATGAATATATTTTGAGGTTATAATTTTTAATACATAAATAGCAAACTGGTTTTGACGTATTGTGTGTTATGAATCTCATTTGACCTTTACTTGAACTTTAATCTTATCATTGAAGTAGTAACCTTTAATATGATTGCGTGATCCATCAATTCTTTTCCTTTGGTTAAATTATTAAAAGATTTCAAAGAATCATGAAGATTTTTTTGTATTGTATAATTTGACTTTTGTATTTAAACATTTTTGAATTATTAAAAAGGCAAATAAAAATGAATAAAGGCTATGGTTTTACGGATGTTTAACTATCACACGAGAAAATAATTATACAACTAAGATGGTGGCTATTAAACTATTCGCGCCATATTGTTCAGCAACTGTCATTTTCGTAAAATCTCGATGAGATTCAGGATATTTACTAGTTGTACAGATAAAATTAGCATAAGAATTACGAAAGAAACAATAATTTTATAATATAATTTATTTATAAACCAATATAACGTTTCCTTACACTATTTTTTTCACAAAATATGTCAAGGTTCTTCAGGGTTGTTTATTAGGTTGATATCATGAACCGGTTGACATGGGGGCGCTACTGAGCTGATATATTTGTTACACTTATGACTACCATTTCAATTACCGTTGGTTTCTGAGACCAAAATATCTGTATAAAACTTATCGTCATCTTTGACAATACAGAGATAACAATATATTTTAAACAGAGATTTTCATTTCAGAAACCGAAGTTTAGCCTTCTCTGTCTATGATCGTGAGTCAATTTCCCGAAAGTCATTTTATATTTTTAATGGCAACACTGAGAAAAAAATTGCCAAGAAATTACCTTTTGTGCCGCCATTTTGTGCTCCGGTATATAGGTTATAAATCTATGGGTTATGAATTAAAAAATACAAGTAGCATTTATTTCAAGATGGCGAACTTTCTCGCCTTTATCAAAGAAACCAATAAGTTTTGATGAGATTTTGATACTTCATGATGGAGTTATAAGTTGTATATGTTTTGCAACGTGCCGTAGCATTGATTGTCACCGAGGATATACCCCGGAGATAGTACCTAGTGGTATTTTGTACTGTTGCTGGGAATATGATAGCGCTACCGCTATCCGCGCCGCATAAACCTGGTCCTAAAAAGGTATTAAAAAGTTTGTTTTAGGTTAAAAAAAAATAGCCTAATAGTTAAGGGTACGGATTTTCGAATTCCAATTCTTCCATACGACTATTGTCGTAATCCTAGCATAAGCTAAGAACTTAGTTGGAATGGTACAAGAAATATTAGTAAATTGACAAAAATATGCTAATATTTAAAAAAAGTATGGCATCCATTAATTTAAATTAAGTTTTAAAACCCAAGATAATGCCAAACAAATTAACCGTTGGTTTCTGAGAAGAAAATTTATATATGAAAATATCGTCACCTCTGTTATTATTTTTAACAAGACAGAGATAATATTTTTTAAACAGGCATTTCAGGTCTCAGAAACCCACGGTAAGATTTTGTAGGTATTTAAAATGTTAAACTTTTAATACAACGCTATCTATTGAATACAAAAATCTATAATAAACAACTAGAAAGAAAACTACAGTCAAAAATAGGGAACCATTGATTTAAGACACATAAAGAGATATCAGTGTTTGTTATAAGTAAACTCAAAAACTACTAAAGCGATTTTAAAATTTCATATACCAACAAAAAGGTATTTTAATACTGAGTAACATAAGATAATTTTATTTATTCGATATACAGGGTGTCCCAAAAGGTTACTTACATTGGTTACATACAATTGCCCCGAAAGGTGTAAAATTTTTAAGTTTTTAAAAAATGCCATTTATTTTTTTTAATACTCAGAGGGGAATTTTTATTTTATTTTTCTGGTGACCCTTGTGACCACCCCTATCATCCCCCTTCCTATATACGTAACCTTTTGGGACACTCTGTATATATATTACAAAAAAAAATACGAAAAATATAATACCATTAATATTTCCAGCACAAAACTTGTCATTGCTTGATTTGGTAAAGCAATCTTCATTCGATACAAATGGCATGTCGATTAATTGCAAAGACTTCGTACTGGACACATCATTTCTCGATAATCCATAACCAGCAGACTGGAAAGTAATTTCTATACCAATGATTGTAATTCCAATACAAATATAACCACAGACAAACTACAATTTATGGTTAACTTTAAAAATTCCAAAATATTTCTATTGATACTCGTATTTTCAATAACATTAGCTATAATTCAACAAGGTTTTTATGACAGACGGAAAATATGCGAACTAACGATGTCATCTTGACATTATTTTAGCCAATAAGAGAGCTGCAGCACGGTTTAGTGTTGCCATTTTCATAATTTCAAATTTCCATAAAAATATCACGCGTAACTTTTTACATATAGATTAAGTAGCTGTCGCCCGCGACTCCGTACGCGCGGAACTAAAAACTTAATTAGTAGTCTATGTGTTCTTTCAGACTATGTTCGATATATATGCCAAATTTCTAACAAACATCCATCTATCCAAACATTCGTATTTATAATATCAGTAAGATTTATCATCTACAGCTAGGAAGAAACATCTAGAATAGGGATGGCTGAGCATTGGCAAATCACTGAACACAAAATTCAATAGACTACGAGAAAAAATGTTCTTCCTATTAATAAAACAAAGTCAAAATTATTTGATGGAACGTCTCAATCAACATTTTTTTGGAAAAACGTACCATTTCTACGTAAATATTCACAATCTGTGATATAAATTATATTTTACCTTTCCTGCATTGCCTTTCACTAGTTGTTTATTGTAAAGCTCCTGTTTGAAATCTAAACATACTGGTCTAATATGATCTTGGTACTCAAAAGACCGGGTCACCACCACCACAGCGATGTCGTCCTGGTAATGATTTTCGTCACCCCGATACCCCTTCGGTATTACTATCTTCTTCACCTGGTGATGAATTCATATATTTTACTCGAAAGACCAATTTTAATAGTAAGAAAATACCAGTTAGGGCAGGGTTTAACATTTCCGGTGTCCTAGGCCGGGGAAAATCTTCCAAAGATAGAATGTATTAGGGGACACAACAGACACCCCTCTGAATTAGACGGCTGAGACGGGGCCCTTGGGGGCTGCGCCCTGGGCGGACTCCCCACCTCGCCCTGCCCTAGGGCCGCTACTATATCTAGTCTAGTATGATGGCTGATAGATATACTGTACTGACATTATAGAGAAAAGGGCAGGATCATGAGAAACTTACATCTGACCTCTGGACAAACTCTTCGTCATCAGGATGACTCCATTCACTAAATAACTTGCCGACCGCAACCGCGTAGTTGGTCTCATCACTTTTACTCTTTGTATCTTCGTTCCAGAAGCAATGGGCAGCTGGAAATTTACAATCAATATTTGAAAAAAAAAATCCAACTGACCTATGACATCATGATGATGAATCGAATGACACCTCACTCCACCAAATTGAACCTATTTAGGCTATAGACGGTCACAATGGACTTTAAACTATTTATAAACAATAGAGAAAATTATAATTTACGTTAGAACTTGATAATTCCAAATGATTTCTGGTAAAATTCTTCATCCCGCTATAACTATGCAATACCAGCTACTAATTTTACTATTGAACTTCAATATATTAAACAATTTCTACAAAATAATTGAAAAAATGAAATATCATAATGGTTGCTTTGTATAGAATATGGCCACTTATTACTTATTTTATGATAGACATAAGAAGATAGTGAATTTAGACATGACAGTTAAAGATTATAGAAGAAAACATACTATGCCCACATTATATAAAAGATATAATAATATTAACTCATTTAAGCACTGGATTAAATACATACCTGACAAGACCACAGAGTTACTGATGAGGGCGCCACTGCAGATATGTTCGTGGGTTGCATCAATAATGTTCTTGTAGTAGATCGCAGCCTGCCATGGTACTCCAGACCTGGTAGCTTCTACACCCTTTGGTGTTAGTAGACCGCATTCTTTGATAAAGAGATAGCATATCAGAAGATGTGCTATATTTGATGAAATGATGATAAAGATGATTATGTGATTGAAATGATAGTAATGATTAAAATTTAGGGCTTTTTAAGGTCTGGAAACCGTATGATCTTTATCAATAAAACCAGCTGTCGCCCGCGATTCCGTAAGAAAAAACACTTTATTAGTTGCCTATATGTTCTTCCAGACTATCTTCGACATCTATGGTAAATTTCAGAGGGATCCAGAACGGCTTCATGTTCTACCTTATAACAAACATCCATCCATCTAAATACCAGAGCAAATATGGATGCGTTCTGCCTTTTAGATGGATGGCTCGCTTCTTGAAGGACCTTTAGTCGTATTGACGATGATGATGACGAAATCGACGGTGATGATAATGATTTTTCCACCTATCTGTACTCAGCGTTTGAGTTGGCACGTGATTTACAAGAATACTCTTGTTGTACACGTGCCAATTCAATATTCTTACCCGGCATACAAGTTGGCCAAGCATTCCACCTGCCGTTCAAACAGTGCATGTACGGTAGTTCTATAGGCGTGTAATAATGAGGTTGTTTACAAAGAGGTTGTACAACAGTGCCGACAGGTTCTGTGTCGTGACACGAGCGAGTAGCGTCAGTACCACTGATTAGACAGTTGTATATCACGCTACGATGTTTTGTTAGACGACAGGTTTCTAAGGAAAAACAAAATTAAAATTATAAGGTATAAGCTGTCGCCCGCGACTCGGTCCATCTGGATTTAAAAAAATAAAAGTAATTAGTAGCCGTTCCGTATGTGTTCTTCCAGACTATGTTCTACATCTATGCCTTTCAGCGAGATGCGTTCAGCCATTCTTCACCTTCAAGCAAACAAACATCCATCCATCCATCCAAACATTTATAATATTAGTAAGATTTACTGATATATTTTTATAACATACGGTGGCAAACGAGCAAGCGGCCACTTGAAATAGTTGAAATGGCGAAGCGACCGCTGCCAATAGACATCTGGAATTGCAAATGCGTTTCCTACTTTTAATCGACGGATGAGCGGATACACAGAAAGAGAATATTTCCACATCTTGTGAGACCCCTCCTCCAACAAATCCATTATCCTTCCCATCCTATCTTAGCATTAGCTTCCACTTAAGACGTGTCTTCTGTGTGGTCGTGGTATTGCAGCGCTCGATCCTACCCCTTCATGCAACTATTATCTAATTTAACGTTCCTCTGTTTAGGCATTGGCTTTAAACATGATTGTATATTGTTTAAATAAAATATTTTCACAATGAAAAAACTTACGGACGCATTTCGGTAATTCCGCAGGTGTCCATTCTCCGTCATAACAAAACGCTGCTGCGTCTCCAACTAGCGCGTAAGTTGGGTTACATGTGTATTGAAGATTTATAACTAAAGCTCTGCCATTGATTATATTACCACCGGTTACCTTATATTCACCGTTCTCTGGTTGAGAAGGTAATGTGCATCTGAGGGAAATACCAAACAAAACATTAATTATTAACAAGAAAATAAACTTATCATAAAAATACATCTAAGTCGTTTAGGCTACAAGCTCCCGAGTCAGTCGGGTGAACAGCAAAAACGAAAACATCGAAAAATTACTTGGATGGAGTTGGATATGGGTTTTGCATTTTACGCGGCAAAATTGTTAAAACATCAACATTTGTATTTTGGATTATTCACCAAACGCTTTATGTGATTATTAAAAAAATACTCACTTAAATTCCGAGTTTCGTTTTCTTCGATTTAAAATGCTTCTGTACGAAATATTATTTGAACTGAAAATAAATTTGTAATTACAAGTCAACTTAATTTAAGTGTCTAGTTATGTTGATTTTTCTTCATTACTAAATAAGTCGAATAGTGTAACCTCTTTAGTTTTATTATTTAAAGACAAAATAAAAAAGAATCAATAGAATACCCATGAAATGAAGAAACAATCTCCAATAGTAATATTGCTGAAACAAAATAAGAAATAATTAAAAAGACAAAGTTATAGTCCAATTTGCTTAATAATAACAATCCTTTTTTTACTAAACTATTTTGATTCTTTTTTTAATCTTACCCGTGACGCATGTCAAAAGAATCTTTGTACACATCATTATAAAATAGATAGCTTTAATTTGACTCTTAATCCATTCTTATAAGCAATGATTGCACCACAACAGGAAAGAGACAACTAAATAAAAGTATAGACATAAACATTTTAAACTAGAGGTTTAAGGGCTGTCGATTCTTTGTAAAATAAAATATTTAACATGGTAAAATTCATCATATTTATATGTTTTCTACGTATGTTGCAACCCTAGCTAACACACAGTCAGAGCCAATCGTAATTTATTTTGTTATAAACTCAAGATGACCTCAAGGTGAATTCTTTGAGATAAATTTTAAATCATAATTATAAGACATTGTATGCATTCGATATTTTATATACAACATCTGATTTCAATTAATTTAGATAGAGACAGAGAGATGCTTTGTACTCCAATCATAGGACAAAGATTTTTAACTCCGTAGAAACTCATTAGACAAAAAATCCGTATAGCGATGACTTTCAAATCAAACCCAATTATCGCAAGGGTCAAGGATAAATGGATGCATGTATTTAAAAGTGTTTAATTATGCGATATGGAAAATTGTCTTTTATATTTTTTATTATTATTTTTTATCAGGCAACAATAAATACGGTTGTCACACAATCATATGACAACATTAAAAACGTCAATGTCAAAGTATTTTCAATAAACAAATGGAAGGTTAATGTTTCATTCTTTCATTAAATATTTATAATTATAATAATTGAATTAAAAATCGCTTACATTAAAGCATGTGATTAAATAAAAAAAATGGCTGAAAACGCTAATACCGGAGCAAAGGTTTGGAAGTTTGACTGGAGAAGTATTGCGAAATATAGCCTGTTAGGATTTATCGGTACGTAATCTTTGCAGTTTTTTATCGATTCCAAAATTAATACAAATTATATTCAGTTGTTATAAACAGGTTTATATAAAATACAAAATATCTTATACAAATAACATAAAAACCAGTAAATTCGATAAATATATCATTCATTATTCAAATTAGTTGTAAATTTATACTTACGTTACGATTTAGGTTAGGCTCAAAATTTATACGCAATAATAACTGTCGCCCGCGAATCCGTTCGCGCGGAATTAAAAGAAAACTTATTTAGTAGCCTATATGTTCTTCCAGACTATGTTTTACACCTAAACCAAATTTAATCGAGATCCTAGCAGGCATTCTGGAGATATCTTTAAACAAACATCTATAAATTTAAACATACGCATTTATAACATAAGTAAGGTTAAATTTATGTATATATATAATAGTTTTTGTAGTTACCTATTACTTATTTTTTAATATAATCAAGTAAAAAGAACTATTATTTTGTCCCCAGCTTTGTTTTTAGGATTCATACATTACAAATATGTTTCCAACTTGTTTGAAAATGACAGAAACTTCTCTTATCTCTCTGATCTTGAACGGGAGATGTCTTTACGAACAGAGATGGGTTTCTACTATTCATATTATAAAACTATAGTAGAAGAAATACCATATATTGCTGGAATATCCAAAATTATGTACGACAAGTTGGTTGAATATCCAAAAGAAGTAAATGCATTTAATAGATTTAATATTTTTCCAGAGGTAAGCATTTTTTATTCATTATCAGCTATACATCCCCACTAAGGGGCTCGGAGCCTACCCTATAGACTAAGCCTTAGTCAACCATGCTGCATTCATGTTGGTTGACTTCACACATATCTTTGACATTTCTTTACAGATATGTGCAATATCACAATGTATTCCTTCACTGTAAGAACATGGGATAAATGTACATATGTAAAACACATTTTTTACCTTTATTTTTTACTTTTTACACACTAACCCCTGAGCCATGGATGCTGACATTTGTTTATAGTTTAGGCTTAAATAATGCCAGGATATATCTGAGATGTTCATATATATGTGAAGTCAAGTTTAGTGCAGCAGGCCAGGATTAACATAAGCCTTGTCAGTCCTATGTAGGTTTAGAAACTCTTTTGTTCCACAATGATATGTTATTAAAACCAAATTAAATGATTATAAAAGGGTGTCAACTAGTTTCAAGCCCATTCAGGCCTCAAGGGGTATGAGGGTTGTCACTGATTGTGGGATGTATCCAATCATTTTGTAGGATTCCCAGTGGGCTACAAAGTAGTCTATGCCGACACCAAATAATGCATGTTCTAACGCAGTTTAAATAATTAGATTATACTAGTTGTTGTCCGCGACTCTTTCCACGCGGAATTAAAAAAAAACTATTGGTCGCAGCATAATGTTATATAGCCTAAAGTCTTCCTCTATAAATGGACTATCCAACAACAAAATTTTTCAAATCGGACCAGTAGTTCCTGAGATTAGCGCGTTTAAACAAACAAATTCTTCCGCTTTATAATATTAGTATCGATTTGATTATTATAAGATATTGTTTCTTCCAGGTAATAATTGGAACGATATATCGATATTTTGAACCAGCATTAAACTCATCTCATAGAGAATGTCATATGGTTGAACGTGACTCCGGCATGGAGCCTGTGGAGAGTTGTGTGGGACTCGGAGTGCCAATTATATTCTACTTAGAAGTTGTTTGGTGGATGGCTGGGTTAACTGTATCTGTGCTGTTCTTGCATGCAGCCACACTTAGGTGAGTGAGAAGGATGGATAGCTTTTTGTATTTCACATAGTTTTTTTTTAATATTATAAGGTGGCAAATGAAGCAGACTCCTGAAATCACCAAAATGGTGAAGCAATGCTGTTGACTACTTTTAATCGATAGAGGAGTTAACACACAGAAAGAGAATATTTCCCCTTCCTGTGTGTCCCCTCCACCATTAAATCTCCTTCCCCTTCCCATCCTTTCCTGAGGAAAAGAGGAAGGAAAGCTAAAGGATGAATATGCCTTACCTACCTTTAATCGATGGACTAACGGATGTTCAGATCATATTTCCTCTTTCTTTACGTCCCTCCCATGTACATTCCTCTTCCATATATATTTCTCACATGGCCAATATTATACCATATTCTTTAGCTTTATTTTATTGATAGAAAATGGAAATCTCTCCCCTGTCTAGTGGAAACTTATTAGGCGGTCTACTAGCGATTGTCCAGTACTTTGCCAATCACACGGAATGCACGCGAGTTCAATGGGCGCCTAATGAGAGAGAGAATTTTGCGTTACCAATACTTTTACTACAAGGATGGCTACTTACTATACAATTGAGGGATAAACCAAGGAAACATGGCATACGGTTACAGGTAATTGCGATAGATGGCGCTCTTTTGAATTTAAATATATGTGTTATTAGTTTGCCAGATTGGCGCTAGTGTGTTGCGGTGTCAGACAAACTTTTTTATTTTTACATATTATTAGGCGGCAAATAAGCAAGCGGTCACCTGAATTCGCTAAAATAGCGAAGCTAGACCATAGGTATCCGCAATTGCAGATGCGTTGTTAAACTTTAATCAACTGAGGTGGGGACCGATAGGAAGGGGGAAACTTTCTCCTTCTGTGTGTCCCCTCCTCTGTCAAATGTACTTCCCATTTCCCATCCTTTGCTTATGAGAAAAAAATGGGAAGGGGAAGAATAGTTCCTTGTCTTCTTAACAATATCAATGCCACAAGATTCTTATCAGACTGGAGAGTTCATGTCCTTTTTTATCTTATGTTTTATATTCGTAAATAAGTTTGTCTGGCTATCTTACTAATACAAATGCGAATGATTGGATGTATGGATGTTTGTTAGAAGGTATCCCTAGACAGCATGAAGAACATAGTCTGGAAAAACACATGACTACTTAGGTTTTTAATTCCGCGAGATCTGAATAAATTCATATTTGAATGTGTTACATATTTTTTGAATAAAACCTTGTTTCAGGTAGCAATATTTCTTTGCAACTGTCTCTGTCTTTTATTCTGGCAATTTAGTCAATTTATATTCTTCGCACAATTATGTATCTACTTTTTGATGGAGCAATTCTATATAATTGATACTAAAGTCCTTTCTATATTCCTTCACGCGCATTTCTGTGGTTTACATATCGGTCTCTTACAAGGCAATGATATGCTCAAATCGTCATTGTATACATCCAGTTTTGTAGTTCTTTTCCTCTACTCTGTATTCTTTAGTTCAATGAGAATCAAAATTAAAAATACTAAAGATATGATATTAGAATTCTTTCTAATTATATTCCGATTCATTTGTATAGGTATTTCTACTGTATATTTAAAAATATTCATCAGTAAATTTTTAGGAGTTGAAGAGGATTCACATATATGGGATATGTTGTTCTCTAAATTCTCATCTAAATATAAAAATTTTCATACGCTCATTTACACTTGTACTGATGTATTCGATTTCCTCCCCTTCTCTTCCATCGAGAAGATGTTCAATACATTTTTAATACCATTTATTATCGTAAATATATTAAATATATTAAAAAAAACATACGACGACGCAATCATATTGAGAGATAATGAAATATATAAGAAAGAGAAAAAAGAAGATTTAAACAAAGACAAGAAAGAGACAGACGATAGTTATAACGCAGAAAGTAAGACTGAAGTTTTAAATGTATTGATGTTTATTAAATTTGATCCGGCGTTATTTTATAATTTATCACTTATGATGATTTATTGGGTCTTTGCGATATTCGTGATGAGACTCAAACTATTGCTGGCAACACAGATGTGTCTACTCTCATCTTTGATAGCCACAAAGAAGTTATATAGGTAAGTTTAATATTAAGAACTTAGCAAGTAAATTTATAGCAATCAAAAATTAAACACCTTTTTTAGTATCACACTTTTGATAAATTTCTACCTTTGATCGACAGGGAAGGGGACAAATTTTATATATCTTACTAATATTATAAATGCGAATGTTTAGATGGATGGATGTTTGTTTGAAGGTATCCAACGACTGAACATATCGCGATGAAGTTTGGAATACATATACAACATAGTCTGGAAGAACACATAGGCTACTTATTATCTTATTTCTTTAATTCCGTGCAGACGGAGTTGCGGGCGACAGCTACTCTTAGTATATTTTCTTGCAGAAATTTTGCCTTACAAGTATCTCAGATAAGTTTATTAGCCTTTAGTAGTAACGTCAAATCATAAGTTAAAATACTGTTTATTTAAATATGTTTATAATTGTTTTTTTTTATAATGTTGATGTGCATTTAGGTTTCCTAAAAGAATAATGGATCGTTTGCCAGTGATTTGGTTTATGCTACTGTTACCACTCGGTCGGCAGCTAGTGGATAACGTGACCAGAGAAACAGCCCATATTGGTTAGTTAATAACGATAAAAAACATATCCCAAAGACTATCATCATCAGCTCACTATACGTCCACACTGTTGTATAATCAATCATATGTTCTTATCATGACATGCATGATACGTATTTTAAGGTTTAGGCCTTAAGTACGATGGGCCTAAACCTTAAAATACAATATTCGTTCGGGGTTCGAATCCCGTCATTCGACTATTGTCGTAAACCATATCCTAGCACAAGCTTACAGCTTAGTTGGAATGGTAAAAGAAATATTAGTAAATTTACCAAAAAATCTGCTAAATCTGAAAATTGTATATTAAAATAAAGTGATTTTTGCAAAATAAAGGTTTAGGAATTTGATTGGATACTAGTATAATCTGGGAATTTAGACTTTAAAAATTCTGTATTAAAAGTGATCCTCGTGTTTAACTAGGTGAGTTTAGTGACTACCCACAAGAGGAAATGCTTAAATGGATATCAAGTGATGCAGGTACCGGCGCATTTGCCGGTTCCATGCCAATATTAGCTACAGTTATGTTAGCGACGAGAAAACCCATAGTCGCACATCCGCATTATGAAAATTTAGGGGCCAGGTAAGTATTTTATTTATTAAGAACGAGAGATTGAAGCGTCAATAGCCTAATGGTTAAGGGTACGGATTTCCAATCACGAGGTCGGGGGTTCGAATCCCGACATTCGACTATTGTAAACCATATCCTAGCACAAGCCTAGAGCTTAGTTGGAATGGTACAAGAAATATTAGTAAATTTCCAAAATAATCTGCTAATATTTAAAATAAAATATAGGCATGCAAGAATTACGATAGATGCATTTTTATTTATACAATTTTATGTCCATGATTTTTATAATTTGGATAGTTTATTTATATATTATCACTATAATGCTAACTAAGTGAACATTAGCCATAGGCATCCGGCATACTAATCGACAGGGGAGGAGACGCACAGAAAAGGGATATTTCCCATTTCTCGTCCCATCGTCCATCAAATCCATTTCCCCTGCCCATCCTTTATAAGAAAAGGGTGGAAAGGTAAAGATATCTAAAATTAGGCCTCCGGACTGTACTTATCAGACTGTAGTTAGAATCGATTCGCATTTGAGGCGTGTTTTCTGTGTGGTCGTTGTATTACAGCGAACGAGGTCTCACGATTTCCAAACGATTAAACTGTAATTGTCATAAAGTTCAACTGATATATTGTTTTCTTCATGACGAAGTTATATTTTTTTTTTCAGAAAACGTGCATACTCCGTATATAAAGTTTACGGTAGGTTTTCAAGTGAGGAACTGTATGAGGAATTGAGAAATTTAAGAGCGTCTTATCTCATAGTTGAATCCAAATACTGCTATGGAAGGAGCAAGTAAGTAGATTTGTTCAAACAGATAAGTACTCAAATAAATATCCTAAGATTTACACATTACGCGACTGTTATTAATTCAAAAGGTTCTAGTCCCTTTATAGCTAAGGCTCTCTGTAACTAAGATCCTCTATAATTTTGTCCCTCTATCACTAAGACTCTTTGCTGATAAGCCCCTCTATATATAAGCCTCTTTATGGCTAAGAGCCTATGTAGTTTACCCTCTACGACTAAATCCATCTGTAGGTAAGCATCAATATAGACAAGGCCTGTAATAGCTAAGTACGTCTATTACTAAGACCCTCTACGGCTCACCCTGTGTAGATATCCCCATTTATAGCTAAGCCCCTCTTTAACTACGACCCACTATAAATTTGCTCGTCTTTGGCTAAGTTCCTGTATAGATAAAACTCTTTTTCAGCTCTCTATAACAAAACCTCTTTATAGCTAAGCCTCTTTTTAACTAAGCCCCTCGTGTTACAGCAAGGGTTGTTCATTCGCGGACATCTGGGACATAGAGGAGCCAGCATTGGCGCGATTGCCTCAACTCTGCAATTTGTTACTGACAGAAAATGTGGATCATTTCTATCCTGTGTTTAGGAATCAACAGTACGCCGTGTTCCTTGTACACGATTATAGTGTCAGGTAAGTGTTAAGACTAGTCTAATACATATAATGTGTGCTTCCGAATTTCTAGAAGAAGGAAAATGTCATGATGGAACATGTTATTCAACCTTTCGTGAGACATTATACTAAACTGATATATAAAAACGGCTAAACATTCACGTATATACGTCCGGTGGCACCGACTAGTTTCAAGCCCTTCGGGGCCCCTTCATCAGGATGAGCGGTACTGGTATTGGTGCCGCCACCGGACGAATATACGTCAGTGTTTAGCCGTGTTTATATATCAGTTTAGATGGAACATGCACCTACTTATATTTTTTAATAGTATAAAAAGGGATTCGCCTAAATAGTACTAATGCTTTGCCTATGCAACAGATCCGTATAGACAGGATATTTTGCTCTAGGCGTCCCCTCCCCTGTCAAATCTATTTACCCTTCCCATTCTCGGAATTACACGGTCTTATAGCCTGTAAACTAATCACTCCTAAAAGCATGATAAAAAAAGTTGGGAGAGCCTGGTTGATTCCTAATCAATGGTTTAGGGTAGACTTAAACCCTAAGGGTTGCAAAATAAACTGACATATCTTACTTCTTACTTATATTATAAATGCTAATGTTTAGATGGATGGATGTTTGTTTTAAGATGTCTCCGGAACGGTTGAACGGATTTTGATAAAATTTGGCACAGATGTAGAACATAGTCTGGAAGAAAACATAAGCTACTTATTGTTTTTTTATTTCCGCGCGAACGGAGTCGCGGGCGACAGCTAGTTGTTAAAATGAATTAATTTGACTTACGTGTACACAATTTTCAGATATATGCCACGTACTTTTTCAACTTGACGTACATCAAAAGAAAATGAAAAAAACAAACGTTAATAATTACTAAGTTTCTATTTATTTATACTGTAACATATAATTGGAAAAAAAATGTGGCAGCAAACTATTATACAATATACTTTTACAAAAAAAACATTTTGAATTACTGTAAAAGTTATAAAATTGTAAATATTTTATTGTAAAATATATAAATTATCATAAATATTGATACGTAAAGCGAATACTTTGTACCTCTCTTTAAGGAAATTACGCGAACGAATGAACGTGAAAATAAATATTTTTACAACTAGTATTACTGGGGTTAGGCACTTGACTTGTCTCCAGATCCTGGGTTCGAATCCCTCCATGTACCAATGTGTTTTCCCATTTACATATATAAATTTATCCGATGTTACGGTGAAGAAAAACATCGTAATGCACATATCTGTGTTAAATTCAATGATATGTGAAGTTGCACTCTGTCAGCATTGACTATGACCTAGTTCACTTAGGAAGGACCCTCAGTTGGGATGTATAGTGAGCTGATGGATGGATGGTCGTCCAGTAATCATCACTAGTTGTAAAAACATTTATTTTAATAACTGTAAAAGTTAATTTATTGTAAAAAGTATTATATTTAACTCGAATGGAGGAAAAAAACAGTTTTACAAGTAGATTTGATCTCTTATATATTTATTCCGAGGTTGTATTAAGTATAGTCGAATCTGGATAACCTAAAATCTTAAGAGACCGCAATATTTTTCTTGCTTTAAGAGATTTTTTTAAACCTAAGTTTCTTATCCAGGTTCGACTGTAATATAAAATCCGTAGATTTAATATGAAAAGTGAATACCGCATTTAAAGATTTAATTTTTAAGTATTTTTTTTTATTTTATCTTTAATTTATAAATTGTAAATAAATTTATTTTGTAATATTGGAGTATTTAAAATTACTATTTAATTTCTTTTATTTTATGAATATGATAAAAAATAGTGATTTTATTTATCAAGTATTATTAAAAAAACTGTGAATTTTAAAATATAATTTAGTAATAAAAATAAATTTATTCTCATGAAATGATTTTTTATTTACGACCAAAATATTTGTATGTATGTTTGAATAGATGGATGTTTGACTCCTTTTTAATTTAGCTTTTATAATTCCGTGCGGACGGAGTCGCGATTTACAGCTAGTTGATTGAATATACAGTTGCGATAGGATATTTAAAGTAAAGTAACAGCCCTCGAGTCTTGTTACTCTTAAACGAGGTTCAGCCCGGTGAAGCTGTAAATGCCTCTTCAAGGCAAACAGTGACTACTCAGACACAGAAAAAAAAGGATATTCAAATTAAAAAAAAATCTTAAAAATAAAAAATTATTTATTTCTTAAATTGATAACTTTTATAATACAATTAATGAAAAAATCAAATCCAATATATACCAATGACTATGGCGTTTTTTTTTTTTTAATAAAAATCACTCCGGTTCACACAATTCATATTTTTCAATGCATTCTAATAACCAAGCAATTGGTAAAGCTTTCAAATGCTTCATATTATATTTAGGTTCGTAAATATCTTTAAATATAATATAATGTGAACATATTTCCAATTTCCCGCCTTTTTTCGCATGATAAGGCACTAATTTCTCATTCTCCGGAATAGATTCCGGATTTGGTATCCTCCGTAGAACTATACCACCAGCATCGTTGATTAATTTAGATAATATCGTCTTATTTAATATTAAAGTTTTTGTTATTTCAAAATTCGTATTAAAATTGTGTAAATAAAAATGGCAACCATTAAACAATCCCGGTAGTTGTTTATATTTATTATATCTTGAATTTTTTGCACCGTTATACTTTGTTGTACCGATACCTTTGATTTCAAACTCGTTGAAATCTTCTAAATGGTTTTCCGTACTTTTTGTTATCCATTCCGTTGATAGAATCCAAACACCATAGATTATACCTTGCAGTACATCAACAGAGGACAGACATATCCCGTCATCTGTGTCTACAACTAAATGTGTAACCCTTTTAGTGAATTTCGACTCTATAGTAATATTACTATGATGTTTCACTAATGTTTTTAATTTATTTTGTGTTGTACGGTATTGTGTTACACAGTAGACTCTTATATCATCGTAATCTAGTTCCATTTGTACTGAAGATATGTTTGTTATGTTAACAGTTTGAGTATGAATGATATTTTCCATAGCTATCTCTAATGTTTCCTTCATTTCGTTTGTAGCTAACTGTATAGGAGTTTCACCTTTACTATTTTTAGCATTCAAATCTGCTCCGTTAATAACTAATTCGTTAACTATATCTTTATGGTTATATCTGACTGCTTCGTGTAATGGTGTCTCATTATCAGGACCTGGTACGTTGATCAGGGTTTTATAGGTTAATAGCAATTTTACCATATCCAATCTCCCACTTTGAACAGCTTCGTGTAACGGTGTCCAACCTGCATGATCTTTTGTATTTGTATTTGCACCTTCATTGAGCAATTCTTGCACTTTATCTATTTTACCGTGACGACAGAATACGTGTAATGCTGTTTCACCTTTTTTATTTCGCTTTTCTATGTTTTTTATTAGTTTTTGACCAGTAATTATTGTTTGTGGGGAAATTTTTGATGTTTCATCATCAGTTGATTTTTTTCTTAATTCACGGTTGACTTTATTGATTTTTGAGGCGGGTTTTTTAGTGTTCCGAGTTCCTCTTATAGTAACATTTTTATTATCTCCTTTCGATTCATCAATAGGGTTTGTATCTGTTTTAAATTGTGAAAATATTTTGTCTAATTCTAAAGTTGAGTTTACACTTGCCTCTAAAGTATCATCTTTATAAACAGGCTTATCTAATAAAGGTAAATCACATGTTGGACATTTGAATAAATCTTTAATATGTTCTTCGCAAATTAAATGGAAACAACACTTCAATGTAACCGGTTTTTTGCACAATTCATTACAAACACGACACGTATAATCTTGTTTTACTGCTTCTAATGCTATCAAAAACGAATTCATGTTTGCCGAGGTCATACTAAGACACAACTTTATGAATTTTATTTAAAAATACGTTAAACAAAACAAACAAAATTATTTTGTGTGCAGATAAATTTACAAATTGAATATTTATTTGACAGATGACAGAATGACAGTAAGAAAATTGACATCCTTTTTTCTGTCTAAAAATCAAAAAACTGTGTTAATTTCTCTAAAGAGTTTAATATGTAACTCAAACATTAAATAGTTAATTTGATGTTCACAACACTTCAAATACTCAATTAAAATTAATCTACTTTAATTCTCCTCATAACGAACACATTTATTTGGATTAATATTGAAACCATAAAAACTGCGACCAAAAAGTTTTGAAACTTTTAAAATTAATCAAATCTAAATGAAAAGGTTTTTTTATTTTATCACAGAAAAAAGGAAACATATTAGTCGTATTTTTCAATACAAATTGTTTTATTTTTAATAAATTTGCTCCAGTAATGGAAAATTAAAGCTGTTGCAATTTCTTTTTATTAATCAAAATATAATAAAATTCATCCACAAACACAATAGATTAGGAGATTTAAAAAATTAGGCTGTCCGTCACTCGGTTACTTCTTATTTCCTCTTACTACCATAGGCATATGATAGCGATGATTTTGATTAACAATTATAAAGGTAAGGTTATTTCACAGTAGGAAGGTACACGAATAAGTTTAATACCATTTAAGTTGGACTTTATCACAATCTAACTGCAATTTACTTATCTAAATAACAAAGAAACGACTAGAGAGACTGCACACAACAAAATTGTGGGCGCTGATCTAAAACTCGAATCCGGGCTGAGATCGGCCGTTTGACAGGTGTCTTTTTTGACATCTGTCAATGTGCGTTCAAAATTAAGAGGGATTCTGTCATAAGGGTTAAATTTTAACATATCATTTGAGGCGAGGTTCTTCGTGTTGTTGTGGAATAAGACGTCCATTTGATGGTTAAATTGGCCATACATAGAGAACATAGGGCTGTGGAATGGTTGATGTTTGCCAAACAGTTGGTCGAGTTTTGTAAACACATTTGTGATCTCTTGTTTACGCATTTGTGAATTTTTCTTCGAAACAAAAACGTGACCGATATTCGACCAACTAATGAAACAGTATTTGGGATTCTCTTCAGGGCATATGGGTGTTAATTCAACAATATTCTGCGCCCACGGCTCATGGATGATATTTGCTGAAAGAAAATTACGTTTTATTTTTTTAGACTTGATTTAACTAGAAATATTTGTTAAAGAAAGTTAATTAAACTAACCTTTATATTTATTATATGTATTCATACTGAAAAAAGCAACATCACTATTTCCTTCAACCAAACTCCTCAAGGCGTTTAATTCTCCATTACCATCATCCTTCAAGCAGTTTTTAGTTAATTTATCTACGATTTCGGCAGTAGCATTATGTTCTTGTATACCGGGGGCGCAAATTTCACTGAAAAAGCTTATAAAATGTTCGCAAGGCACTTTTAATTTGTCAGCGAAGTATTGTGAAACAGAATGCCAGGCGACGCCGTCGAAGCGCGGGAAAACAGCCCGTTTCCCGCGTAGATCTGTCATCTTTTCCAACATGGCGTCCTTCCTTACGTAAGCTACAACTGTGTGAGTTTTCTCGACTATCGGTGTCGCTTCGTGGAGAACAGCGGTGAGACCGTAGTCACTGTAATAAATAAAAACAAATTTACACATAGATAAAATAGCGAATTTACTGCCTAGCTATAATTTTTTTTTTCAGTTTCATACCTAATTCCAGAAACAAGCGAATCGCCATCAGCAACCATCACATCGCTGTCTCCGTCGCGCACACCGGCCATGCAATCTCGCGTGCTCGCTCTAATGGTACACTGGAGGGGAGGCGTGATGCCGTACACCGCGCTCGCTTCACTCAACCATTCGCATTTGTTCTTCTCCAATATTGATTTAGTGCAGAAAGTTATGTGCCTATAAAATCAAAGATATGTTAAAAAAAACCTCAGAGATTGACTTTACTTACAGAGATAATAAAAATAAAATATTTATTAATTGGAAATGCAATGATCAAGACTAATTAAAGTACAATTTGCTATTAGATAGAAAATTCAAATTACTCTTTGACACTAACTGTCAGACTCATATGGATACATAATCTTTGTTTTTTTTTAATTAGCGTATTTTTTATAATTAAAAAAAACATATTGTTTTTATTCTTATAGCTGTCGCCAATTAAAACATAATTAGTAGGCTACGTGTTCTTCCAGACTATGTTCTATATGTATAGTAAATTTCATCGAGATCCATTCAGCCGTACAAGAGATAACTTCAAACATCTAAACATTCGCATTTATAATATTAGTAAGATATACCTAGGTGGATCACATCCGCTCTGACTGTATGCTTCTCTGAAGCCTCGTGCTGTTGCTAAATGGTCTAACGGCGCACGCGGCGGGTACAGCGGTATTGGCGCTGCACGTAACTCAAGTAGCGCTGCAAGCGCTCCTCTCCAATGTCGGTCTACAGCTGCAGCGCTTGATGATATAGATTGAGTTAACGCGCTCACCGCTGCAGCCGCTTTTCTGTAGACGTATGTATAAATTAGTGGTTATAAGACGTAGATTTTGTGACTATTTGATTTTCGCCATTTTGGCGCTTTGTAGTGATGTGAATTAGAACTAATAATATATAACTGTCACGTAACAAACGCGTTTAAATCGGCACCATACAAAATCTATCATTTCCAAGAAATCGATTATTCGTGTCTTACGAACTTGATTTCAACGATATTTACGAGTTAAGCGTCAATAGCCTAATGGTTAAGGGTACGGATTTCCGACCACGAGGTCGGGGGTTCGAATCCCGACATTCGACTATTGTCGTAATCCATATCCTAGCACAAGTTGGAATGTTTAAAGAAATTTACAAAAAAATCTGTTAAAATTAAAAAAAAAAATTCAACACTAGTTGTCACCCGCGACACCGTTCGCGCGGAACTACAAAAAAAAACTTAATTAGTAGCCTATGTGTTCTTCCAGACTATGCTCTATGAGATCCATGCAGCCGTTGTGGAGATACCTTCTAACATTCATCTAAACATTCGCATTTATAATATTAGTAAGATTTATTTGTAATATAATACCTTTTAGCAACTATCACCGGCCAGGGTCTGTTCAGCCAGACACAAGGATCCGTATTGTTGGTGAGGGGCTGCCAACTGCCGTCACGACAAAGATACGCCAGGTGATCTGTTGCAGTGTCCTTGAAAATAAGATAAATTAGTGTTTGCATACTTTAAGAGCGTCTGTAGGTCAGGGGTTTACTTGACTTGTAATCTGCAGGTTCGAATCCCGCCATGTACAGTCAGCGTCATATAGATCGTCACAGACAAGATATGCAAATATATAGGTACATCAAAAGTAATCAATTATATCGGTACAACAAAAGTCCTCAAAATAATAGATACATTCACCCTGCTCAAAAACATCGGTACATACACAGCGTCAAATATATGAGTACATGCAAGATGCTCATAAATATCGTAGCATCCACAGCGTCATAAGTAACGAAGCAGTCAAGGTGCTCAAAAATATCGGTACATTTGACAAAATTGAACTCTATCTCTATATACTTGTGATACAATTTGGAATAAACTACTTCTGTTACATTCATTTGACACTTTGCATCAAACCATTTTTCAAAATTTACTAAAAGTGTTCGACGCGGATGACAGATATTACGTAGATAAAACCAACATCAAATTTAAGTTTGTCATCATATATGCTAGTTTGGTCTCGTGGCCTTACCGTTCGCCGCCGTTGGTACGTAAGTTCGGCGATTCAAATCCCAAGCAACTATTTTTTTTTTTGATATTTAAACTTTTTAATTTTAATATCGAAGCACATGTAATTAAACTCTATCGCCGTAGTTATTAGGTACTTTTTGATATTGCCTTGGACTAATGAGTTTGAACGCTAAAGTACTTTTCTATTTCAAACAAAAATGAAGGAGATAAAGTGATGCTATTGACATGTAATTTGTTTATTACTCATGTTTGTTAAACTTGTACCGGTAAAAATAACACTTTTACTTTTACCTTTTACTGATACTGATTATATTTAAGAAACAAAGAAAAAAAATCTGAATGTCAATATCCAAACTACATCAAATTTTTGGTCGATTGCAATAAACATTCCAGTGTGCGTGGGCGCGCACACATATGTAGATAACACTTGTACGTATAGTTTCCGCGCGTACCATTCTTAAAACCCGCAAAGACAATCCACGCTCCGCCCACTCACTTCAACCACGATGGTCTGACTTAATTGTTGTTAACTTTATTTAAATTTCTTTCTACCCGACAGCGAAAATTATAAAAAAAATTGTCGAGCAAAATTTTACATTACCAAATTTTTACTGGTTATGAAAAAATAACCACGTGATTGATAAAATGAAAAAAAAGTAGCCTGAGATTCGAACCGGTAAACTTACATATTACGGCAAACATACTAGAATACTGCGCCAAACTAGTATATATTGTGACAAGGCAAAATTTGATATTAGTTATTACGTATCTGTCATATTCGGCGTGACAAACTTTTATAATATATTTAAGCGTTATGACAGGAGAAGAAAAATATTGGGTTGCCCAGTAAGTTCGTGCCGCTTTATAAGGAAAATTGAAACCCTGTCCTCTTAAATTTTTGGAAATGGTTTTAAATTATATTGGTACGACTCTATACCTAAAACGTCTTTTATTTTTGGCTAAAATTTTAAAAATTAGTTTTTATCTCAACCAATGAAATGAAATTATTCACAATATAGAAATTTTTGTGACGTTTGATAATGGTGGAAATCCGAAAATGAATCCACTTCAGCTGCAGTCTATTGTAAGCTTTATATCGAAAATCAGAACGAACTTTCCGGACAACCTATAATGTTAATACAAAGTGTCAAATGAATGTAACAGAAGGAGTTTATTCCAAATTGTATCACAAGTATATAGAGATAGAGTTCAATTTTGTCAAATGTACCGATATTTTTGCGCACCTTGACTGCTTCGTTACTTATGACGCTGTGGCTGCTACGATATTTATGAGCATCTTGCATGTACTCATATATTTGACGCTGTGTATGTACCGATGTATTTGAGCAGGGTGAATGTATCTATTATTTTGAGGACTTTTGTTGTACCGATATAATTGATTACTTTTGATGTACCTATATATTTGCATATCTTGTCTGTGACGATCTATATGACGCTGACTGTACCAATGTGTTTTTCCATTTCCGATTTACATATGTACATTTATCTGATGTTACGTTGAAGGAAAACACCGTGATGCTGCACATATCTGAGAAGAAATTCAAAGATATGTGTGAAGTCAGTGTGGTTGACTATGGCCTAATCACCCTTAACTTAGGGTAGGCTCCGAGCACCTCGGTGGGGACGTATAGTGAGCTGATGATGATGATACTTTATAATACTTATTACTCAGGTTAGAGAGAAACCTCTACAAGCGAGAACGGTCTCACAGTCCAGACGGACGACCTCCACAAGCGAGAAACTCGCGTTAGAGAGACCTCTACGAGCGAGAAATTCGGTTTAGAGAGAAACCCCTATAAGCGAGAAACTTGGGTTAGACAGTAACCTTTTATCATACCTTGAAATAAGCTTTGACGTCATTAAGTTCAGACCACATGACGTCACCGGCACCTTCAGAGAGACATGCCAGCGCACCACCATCTCCCCAATAACGATCATTCTCTGAGCAAGTGGACCGACATGCAGCACAAAGAGATGGGTACTTCTTTTCTAAAAAAGAAAAATAATTAGTAATTAATTAATTGTCATTTGACTCGTGTTCTGAAGTTTCCCTTAGTCATTGAAATCGATTTAGTAGTTAAGGAAGAATAAGATAGTATTTGAAGCCGGTTAAAACAAGATAACGCTCAAAAATCAGAACGACAGTGGCAGAGTAAAGTTCGGATTTTTATAATTACCTGACGGTAAAGGAAAATATCTAGATGCAATTAGCACATATCTAGTTCTTTTTTAATATTAATAAAGAAAACGAACAAAGAGACCGATGTCCATAGGCATTTGCATGCATTCCTTGCCTATCTGTGATCTACGGGTAAGGCGCACAGAAAGAGAATATTTTCCCTTCTTATGCATCCTCTCACTCAAACCCACTTCCCCTTCCTTACTTCATGAGAAAGTAGTGAGAAATCCCTTCCATTTAAAGATAGAAATGCAATAATTACGAGAGGAACCCCGAATATCTTTTTTTTTTTAATAGAGTAGGGGGGAAAACAGTGCGAACACCGAGGTGTTCATCATCATGACCAGAGGAACCTCGGATGCGTTGCTGGCCTTAGTTATCTTACTTAGTTCAGCATTTCTTGTAGGTTCAGGTACCCAAGGGCCGGCTTTGCAAGCTCTACTAAAGAAGTCTGCTAGTGCTTTTATCCTGTTCTCACTGAGCGAGAGGTTCGGATCACACGATCTTGTTAACACCAATGACTCTAGATACTGAAACAAAAAAATAATTATAATTAAAAAAAAAAAACAGTGCTATACTTCTTTCACCTTTTTAACTTGCAGCTTTGATATTAAAAGTCCTGAACCATAGATAAAATAGAATTAACAATAAGCGAGACACTCGGGATAGAGAGAAACCTCTATAAGCGAGAAACTCGGGTTGGAGAGAAACCTCTATAAGCGAGAAACTCGGGATAGAGAGAAACCTTTGTAAGCGAGAAACTCGGGTTAGAGAGAAACCTCTATGAAGGAGAAACTCGGGTTAGAGAGAAACCTCTATAAAGGAGAAACTCGGGTTAGAGAGAACCTCTTTGAGCGAGAAACTCGGGTTAGAGAGAAACCTCTATAAGGGAGAAACTCGGGTTAGAAAGAAACCTCTATAAGCGAGAAACTCGGGATAGAGAGAAACCTTTGTAAGCGAGAAACTCGGGTTAGAGAGAAACCTCTATAAAGGAGAAACTCGGGTTAGAGAGAACCTCTTTGAGCGAGAAACTCGGGTTTGAGAGAAACCTCTATAAGCGAGAAACTCGGGTTAGAGAGAAACCTCTATAAGCGAGAAACATATCATAGTCCCTGGCTTTAAGTTCAAATGTATATTTAGATTTTATAAAATATCATACCCCAGAAAGTGTATCACTGAGAGGTCGCAAATCATCCAAACCGACGCCAGGATGACAAAGAGAACTATTTCTCAATATTGACGTCAAGGGAGCGGCACTGTCCGGCAATATTCTCCTGTTCACTACGGCAACAACACTGCGCTCGAATTGTTCTGAAAAAAATTAAAAAATATATATGTAAACTAGCTTTTGCAAGCTACTATTTAACTTAATCTGCATGTGAGTTAAAAAAACTACATGAATCCTTTTAACAGTGGTAGAGCGAGCTTTAACATCTTCGCACGAATTGTCTCGCCCGGTGAAATACCACGATCACACAGAAGACAGGCGTCAAGTTGAAGCAATTCCAACTACAGTCTGATGAGTGTGAGTTACAGAGGCTTAATTTTAGTCCTCTTTTACTTCCTACCCTCTTTCTTATAAGGAAAGGATGAGAAGTGGAAGTGGATTTTCCGAATAAGGGGATGCATGGAAAGGAAATCTTTCTGTGCCTCTTCTCCGACGATTAAAGGTAACGCATCTGCAATTGCGTATGTCTATGGGCTGTCGCTTCGCTATTTCAGCTATTTCAGGTGACCGCTCACTCATTTGCTACCTTATGATATAAAAAAATGTCCGTTGAACCGTTATACAGTTATATAATAAACTGTCTGTCTGTCTGTCCACTATAATTGAACATTACTCGAGATTTTTTTTAAATACTTACTGTCTCTATCTCGTAATTCATTCGTGACCAGTACATCTACGTTAGCCCATCTCGCAGCCACCAGGTCTTCAGGACTGAAGACTCCAAAGTCAACAGTACCCTTACTAATACGCCGGAGACAATCCAATCTGAAATTAACATGTGTAAATATTAGATGATGCCTCCGATTTAGTCGTAATGAAATTAAAAAATAAGTCTTTGCGCTATTCCTGACTGTGATCTTTGTCCTAAATGTCTTCTAGACTCGTTGAGCCGTTATGGAATTACGCGATATCGCTTCTTTTCTTTCTTTCGCATTTATAACATTAGTAAGATTGATGTAAAACAGAGGTGTGTCAGAATAACGATGACGCTTGTATCTTATTACATAAAAACTTCTTACGTAATATTATAATTTTGTTACATGGATCTCGATGAAATATGGCATATTAGTAGAACATAGTCTGGAAGATTATGAAGAAGAATATGCTAATGAGTTTGTTTTAATACCGCACCGAAAGAGTCTTGGGCGACAGCTAAAACTTAAAAAAAATACGAATAAGTACACTAAAATTACACTAGATGGCGTTATTTCCTTACCTGTCAGTTCCAAGTACACATTCGATTTTGGAATTCTCTTCGTCCAGCACCGGACAGTATTTGGCGCCACGTTTGTACTGACCCCGGCCTTCTACTATACACAGGCGTACTGTAAGCAAAATAAATACGTTAACAACATTAAAACTCTTCAGCCCATTACAAGGGTTACTAATAGTCTGGAAGAACATATAAACGACCTAATAAGTGTTTTTTTTAATTTCGCAAAAGGCTAAAAGGTAGTTGCTATTTATAAAGCTAAAATAATTAATTTAGAGAATTAAGCGATGTTATATCTGCGTAAATATATTTATTTGTTCACATTTATATGTTAAATATTATTATAGAGACCTTTGCACATACGCAACACTGACCTCGGTCCGAAAACATTTAACATGACGTCATCATGTTACGAAATCGTAACCGTAATCCGCAGTGACGTATTATATATTGTCATCTCTTTCATTCACTTTGGTAAAACAGAGACAACAACATATAAGATGTTGCGCAGTGATTATGACAGACATACAATAGACGAAGGTAACTCAATTAAAATTGGTGACCTGTAGATCAGTTTACGACTCATACGTGTGAAGCAGATCAGTGATCCGAGTCTCAGCATAGCTCAATAGTTACATTTGTCAAGTCACCAAACCTAGTAGCTGGACTAACCAGCCAATTTAGCCGGAACATTTCAGTAAAAGGCCGCACCTTGTTGAGGATTTCGTCTTAGTGTCAGGTATGACAAAAAATTGTATGTAAAATCACTCTCGTTTACTAAATGTAAAAGTGTACCAAAGCCGGACAATCCAGACACTTTATTTTAGCTGGACGCAATCAAAAAGCCTACCTATGTCCGGCTTTATCCGGACGCGATGAGCTTTGAGTTGCCAATTGAGTTGTTGATCCGCTCAACGATTCAGTTATATGTGAGCTGAATTTTGAACCGGTTCAGAGTGGTTTTGTACATGGCTGTTTAAAATATTCTCGTTTTTGGATTCGTAGTAATGGTATGTAGGCGGTGACAGCGCGTTTTCATTTCAATTATGACCTTGACATACTTTTATGCCTACGGATGTTAATTTCCGACCAAAATGTAATTGCTAAAGTTCAATGGATCTTGATTAAATTAAGCATTCATATAGAAAATAGTCAAAAAGAACATATACTCGTTAAGATTTCTTTTAATACCGAACGGACAGAGTCGCAGGCGACAGCTAGTACATTCATAATCGTAAAACCAGTTAGCAACAATTCTATGGAAATCACGCGTCTATTTGACATACGATTCGCAATATCTTTAAGGAAAATACAAAATAACTCTAGCTAACATTGGCCTTTGCAACAAATAACCAATGTAACATAGTCGTCTCATATATAAAAACTAATTTTAATTTAAAAGTGGCATATTATCCTTACTGATATAAATGCGAATGTTTAGATGGATGTTTGTTTGAAGGTATATCCAGAACGGTTGAACGGATCTCGATGAAATTTGGCATACATATAGAACATAGTCTGAACACATAGATTACTAATTAAGTTTTTTTTAATTCCGCGCGGACAATGTCGCGGATGACAGGTAGTGTAATTTTAATATGAATTAAGCATACAATTTGTTTATAATTTTACTTAAACAATGAACGCAACGATTATTTCTTTAATAACTTGATTAGCAAGTGATATATAATTCATAATTTAGCTTAATTATGCAAATATAATGTTCTTTTTTACCTTCTTACAACACTATTGTTGTGAAATGATAGCGTGGGTTTTCTCAAAAAGAATTCAAAGATAAAGACTAAAAGGTAAGTAGGTATAATATACTTTATCCAAAGAGTAACTGTCACTCGCAATCCGTCCGCGCGAAATTAAAAAAAAAACTTAATTAGTAGTCTATGTGTTCTTTCACATATTTTCTTTATCTATGCCAAATTTCAGCGAGATCTATGCAGCCGTTTTGGAGTTCTAACAACGTTAGAACGTTATACGTTTTTAAATCTAGGAATTGACAGACTCAATCAATTCGAACTATCGATTACAATAAAAAATATTTAAAAAAAAAACAAAATCTACAAGTTTTTCGCACAACGAACATTTCGAACCAAAAGCGTTTTGCTAAAATAAAAAATATCATACCGCGATTTATTTTGTTATTATAAAAGAAAAAAAAAAACATAAAAGTACTGGAGACGACCAAGCGACCTTGAAAATGACCGTCAGATGTCTGAACGCGACAATAACCTGTTCATTGTGAACGCGCGAAACGTGCTTGAAATTAAAAAAAAACAAAGATTAATTATCTGTGCATGTTCAAGTTTGCGCACTTTTTTTGACATTTACAACTTTATTTATTTTCAATTTACGTAGTTTATTAAAATGAAATATTTGGATTAAAATCAGGTAAGAAATTGGTTTTAAATAATATAAGTAATTTACTATTTAAGATTGTTTTATACAAATTTCTATATCTATAAATTAAGATTTTTTTAACAATTTCATTGAACTAACGGTCGTCCATTGGTCGGAATTTGACAATAATTCTTTTTAATTTTTATTAATATAGCTACCATAAAACTTAGTCTTTAAATTCTTTTCGTTCACACAATTTCCTTAAAATGACACATTCGATCAGACTTTATAGCCATAACTTGTGATATTCCTCAGACGAACAAAAATGTCGCCTATCACAACCCTCCAAACTTTGGCAAGCTATTTAATAAACAATATATTACTTTGTTACAGAAAATTCTTTTTTATCCGTCAAAGAAGGTTTCAATTCGTCTGAATTTTTTATGTGTGTGTTACATACTCTGGTACTGGTGCTCAGAAGTAAGTCCCTTTTTTTTATTAATTTTTGAACTAAACTGATATATAAACACGGCTAAACACTCACGTATATACGTCCGGTGGCGGCACCGACTAGTTTCGAGCCCATCGGGGGCCCTTCATCAGGATGAGTGGTACTAGTATTATTTCGCGGACGCGGCCCTCAGCTCACTCATGCGACGGGCCTGGCCTATAATGTCTCACGAAAGTTTGAATAATTTAATTTTTGAACTGACTAGAAGTCTAGTGGATTTTGAATTTATGGTCAAAATGGGTCACGAAAATTATAGAAATAGAACCTTTTTGCTTTCTTCATACAGGCTAAACTATAGGACATATATATGAATGACATATGATCGAATTGTAGCTTATTAAATTTGCTAAATAAAAGACCGCGATAGCATATATCTATTTTTACAGTTTTTTCACTATAGCCATTTTTATCTTTGGAAATATTTAAATTCTGCATATAAACATAACGTAAATGTCAACAGGATCTAAAATAATCATAAACAGACGAAAAATACGTGGGCGTGAAAACAGGTATACGTGTTGATTATTCGATTTTATATTAATGTAGCTAACTTTTGCCCGCGACTCCGTCCGCGCGGATTTGAAAAAAACCTAATAAGTAGCCTATGTGTTCTTCCAGACGATGTTCTATATGTATGCCTAATTTCATCGGGATCCGTTTAGCCGTTCTGGAGATACCTTGTAATAAACATCCATCTAAACATTCGCATTTCTAATATTAATTTATAGTAAATAGTAAGATATAAAGGTTAAATTGCATTATGTATGGCAAATTACTATAAAATTAAAAACAAAACTTTAATTTGTCATAAACGGGTTTCAAACGTAGATTAAATCAATTTGTTCTGCTGTTTGAGGTAAAATTACCTTAACGTACCTTATTATGCTTATACATCTTACTAATATTATAAATGCGAATGTTTAGATGGACGTTTGTTAGAAGGTATTTCAAGAACGTATCAACAGATCTCGCTGAAATTTGACACATATAGAACAGTCTGGAAGAACATATAGCATTCTTATTAAGTTTGTTTTTACCGACATCTTCATGGCAGTAGAAACTATATGTTAGAGACCAATTAAAGCATCGAAACAATTACGCAAGGAAATACCCAAACGCATCAGTTGACAGATAAACAAGGAAAAAATGAACCGTATTTAGGATCATACCGCGAAATTCATGGAAAATAAAAAACAAACAAAAACCTGTGTTCTCGATTCCAAGTTTAAAAAAAAACTAGCGTCAAAGCACCAAAGAGCACGTATTAGTCAATATGGTGTTTGACACAGATCTATAAATGCGTTGTGACTATAATTTATTTACAATAGGCTATATTATATTTGGTAGCACATGGCTGTTAACTTTTAAAGTATTTTCTTCCTATAGTTCTAACCATAATACATATGATTGACATTATAACCTTTTTAACAGATCAGAGACTTATTTTGGATTGTGACAGATGACAGCTGTCAAAAATGATAAATTGATCGATTATAATGAGAAATAAATACCATATTCTACTTGTTTTATTATCTGTGTCTCTTATAATCTACATATTTTATTAGAGCGTCCATGGCTCAGGGGTTTCAACACTTGACTTGTAATCTACAGGTCTTTCGTTCAAATCCCGTCATGTACCAAAGTGTTTTTCGATTTACGATTTACATATGTACATTTATCTGATATTCTTACGGTGAAGGAAAACATCGTGATGCTGCACATATCTGAGAATAAATTCAAAGATATGTGTGAAGTCACTGCACTTGGTCAGCGTGGTTGACTATGGCCTAATCACCCTTAAATTGGGGTAGGCTCCAAGCCCCTCGGTGGGGACGTATAGTGAACTGATGATGTATTTCTTCTATAAGAATTATTGCGCGTGTTGCTGGAAGTATTTTTTTTTTAATTAAACATCGAGTACTGTAGTGAAGTAGAATACGACCAGTATTAAAATGGAGTTAAGTTTTTATTTCATATACAACTAAATGCTTATAATCTTTATCCTGAACAGTAAACATTTTACAATAAATAATTTGGTAACAGGAAAATATAAGTTAAGAAAATAAATGTTATAACAAAAAGGTCTATAATGTTTTTTCTTATAGAAGACGGACGCCCGCGACTCCGACATGTCAGTGCGTACTCAGAAAACTTAATAAGTAGTCGTTCCGGAGATATCTTTTATCAAACATCTAAACTTTGAATTTATTTTATATAATATAAGTAAGATATAAAACCTAACTTAGGGTAGGCTCCGAGCCCCTCGGTGGGGACGTATAGTGAGCTGATGAAGATGATGTTGATGAAGATATAAAATGGATAAAATCGTAGTAACCTCTAAAATCAAATCTTTAGTAGAACGCACAAGTTTAACAAACTTTTTTTTTAAATTCCGCTCGGACGTAGTCGCGGGCTAATGTTAGTTAGCCTGTACAAAAATCCAGAATGTATGTATGTCAGTTCCAGATTAGTTCAGCAACTCTGTATATTTAAATATTAACAAACAAACATCCAAACGCATTTCTTTTGTGGTCGAGCAAATCTGAGATCACACGGAAGTCTGTGGTTTGGTCGCCTTCAAACTGACGGAAGGTCGAAAAAGCGCGGGAATTATTTTACACAATGAAAACATAATAAACATTATTCAGACATAAATATACGTATAAATAGTGTATTTATCCACAATTAATAAAGAATACCTGGATGCTGGATCCTGGAGCTTTGCTCGGTATTTTTTTTAATTGTGTATTTTGGAAATTATATTCAAGTACGAATTACTAATAAAATGATGAAATATGAATAATATTTTTCGATCTTACCGATAGAAAAAGTTAAGTTTATGTTTAAGTTGATTATCGATAAAACACGAATAAAATGACATTTTCTAAAAATGATTCCTAGCTAGATCGATTTATCGCCCCCGAAACCCCTTATATAATAAATTTTATGAAAATCGTTGGAGCTGATTCCGAGATACATATTTAAAACCATTTTTTAAATAGTTTTCTGAAAAATATTTTACACTTTTATTACGTACTGGCTGACTGTGAAAACTGAATTGCTAGCTTATGTGTTCTTCCAGACTATGTTCTAAATCTATGTCAAATTTAATCAAGATGCGTTAAACCGTTCCGGAGATAGCATCCCCAAACATCCATCCATCTAAATTCGCATTTATCAATCTTAAGAATTAAATCTTGCTACACGTCAAACGCTAGGGTATTTACCTGGACGTAAAAACATCATAATTAACAATGACATTTCATATTTTCCATACATGTCTATGACACAATAATTACCTTTGAATTACAAATGTCCATAGTTATCGAGTCAATATGAAATTATCAGCTTTTATTTCCTGCAATATCTAGAATTTCCTTGTAATATTTACTTACTTTTTCCTTGTAAATTAGAATTCCTGTCTTTAAACACTACTATAAAGATTAATAATTGAGCGTCGGTATGTAAAAAGATCTCATATTTCGTACACATATCTTTATATATATAATTCTTCTGTGAGTGTGTATGTCACTGAACTTCTCTCAAACGACTGGAGCGATTTTGATGAAATTTTTTGTGTGTGTTCAAGGAGGATCTGGGAATGGTTTAGATTCACAATTTTCATCAAATATTAACTTCATATTAATTTATTCAAATTAAAGACGTGTAGACAGGACAACGTCTGTCGGGTCCGCTAGTTATTTATAAAAATTTAAGATATATATCCGTCTGTAAGTCCGTGTTTATAACGGATAATCTCCGAAACTATGCATGCAGGAGTGATAGGCCATTTGACGCTGACAAAGTCGTGATGCAAAGTTAATATTAGGTTAATTTCAAAAATAACTTTGACTTTATTTAACTACTAGCTATCTATTAAAAAAAAACTTAAAAATTAAAAAAAAAAAACTTAAAAAGTAGCCAATACGTTCTTCCAGATTATGTTATACATCTGTGCAAAATTTCATCACGATACATTGAACATTCGCATTTATAATATTAATAACACGTAGAATAACAGTTTAACAAGTTTTATATTCACAATATCGTATAAAGAAAAAAAATTAAATCGGCCTTTAGCAAGTGACATTTGTTTTTTTTTTACCTGAGTGTCACTCAACTCGTATGCTTCGCGTATCATAAAGTCAGCTATTTTTTTTAATTAATTGGTCAAAGCCTTTTTTTATTCGGTTTCGTTTATTTAATAACTAGAAGCTCGTTGATAAACGTATTACAGATTTTGTAAGCGTCCTTTTCCACTGAGCTGGCAGAGCGACGCGACTCTGAATATAATTGTTGTTTGACAACATATTATAATTATGTCAAATATGTCAATATCCAATAAGATAGAGATATATAAATGCTAAATTTGTTATCAGTCATGTCTATTATGATGTCTTCTACAATCTTATATATCTTACTAATATTATAAATGCGAATGTTTAGATGGATGGATGGATCTTGATGTAATTTTGCATAGATGTAAAACACAATCTGGAAGAGGCCATGGGCTACTAAGTTTTTTTTTAATTCCGCGCGGACGGAGTCGCGGGCAACAGCTATTAATATTATAAATGCGAATGTTTGGATGGATGTTTGTTTGAAGGTATCTCCGGAACAGATGCATGGATCTCGCTGAAATTTTGCATAGATGTAGATCATAGACTGGAAGTTCACATAGACTACTAATTGAGTTTTATCAATTCCGCGCGGACGAAGTCTTTTGCCTTAAAAATACTGGTTATAAATTTAAATTTAAAAAGAAACCTAGCGGTCTGCGGTATTTAAATTAATATTTGAAATGCTTCAGGTCTTTTTTATAAAACAAGGAAACAATGAATTTGCAAATCATCATAAATGATTAAACGTCTATTACAAACGACATTTTTCCTGTTAAATTAAAAAAAACTTACAATTTCCATTCTGACCAGAGCCAGGTCCTTGTGGTATCACAAAATTAACGCACAAAAGAAAAAAAAGTAACCGGCACAAAGAATTCATTTTCGAAATTCAAAAAATAAAAAAATAAACCGTTCTACGGACAATAAAAATTCCCGCTTAATTGACAGATTAAAAATTTATATTTTTTTTAAATCGCAAACATTTTTGTTAAACGCGGGAAAAACGTCCGTATAGCGGACAGACTGACAACATACTGGACACTACAAGGTGTTCGAGATGAATAAATAATTTATAATAAGGTAAAGGTGAATACGTTAAATGTTTCGGTTCGTTGATTGAGTCTTATGAGTCAGATATGTTCCGAGTTCGATGTTTTTTTACTGCAGTAAGTTTTTTGTTTTATATCATAAAGTGGCAAACGAGCGAGCGGCCACCTGAAACCACTGAAATAGCGAAGTGACCGTTGCCCATAGACATACGCAATTGCATATGCGTTGCCTACCTTTAATCGACAGAGGAGAGGATGCACAGAAATAAAATATTTTCCCTTCTCATCCATCCTCTAATCCGGAAAGTCAACTTTCACTTCTCATCCTTTCCTTATAAAAAAAAGTGTGGGGGGAAAGAGGACTAAATTAGGCCGGGACGCACGCGACGACGAAACGCGGAATTGCTTCCACTTCACGCCTGTCTTCAAAATGTTTAGGCCAACCGAATCTAATAACTTCGCCGGTCTATACTAACGCTTCATCAGTAAAAACCCATTGTAAATAATAAATTGAAAACCAGTTTTGTGATAAATACTTACGATTCTGCTCACGGGGAAAGCCCTGCCTTGTTTCACCTTGTTTTTTGTAGTTACTAAGTATCTATAGGTAGACAAACGAACAATCACATGCAATCGCTAATAGTAAAGCGTACGGAAGACATTCAATAAGTTAAAAAAACAGACACGTTCCTTCAAAATCTAAATCAAAAAGCAACGATGTAAGAAAGTATATTTTTTCCTTTACTGTACATAACGTCTTCCGTTTTTTCAATAGCATTGTTTTATTATTAAAATTAATTTGGGAAGGGTAATAGTAATAGATATTGGCCACCTGCACACTCAATCTTTGTTTTTTTATAATTCTAATCTCATAAATGCTTGACTAACAGTAGTCAATGTTGGCAATCTAATGCGCGATGTTTTCTGACCTGTAGCAATGAATTTATTAGTGAAAATTACAGTGGCAGTGAATTTTTACTTGTAATTATAGCAAAAAAACATGTCGCCGATATCATTTTCTTAAAAAAAACAGTAAACGTGTGTAGCAATCTATGTATTAAAAGACTTCGTCATAAAATTATTTTTTAATACTCAAATATTAAAACATCAAATTAATAGACAATAAGTTATACACAATAACACATCTAGAATAGAATTGTTTATGGTTTGGAAATTATCTATGCAATTTTATATCTGTGGTTCGTGATTTGTCGATGGAAAACTCGCAAATGTGCTTATCGAAGCATCACTGGTATCCGGATCTTTTGATCCCAAATCTTCTTTAGAATTAGGCTTTTTATCTTTCTTTAAAAACATATTCGGTTCAATGTCTAAATCCATATCCAAACTTTGATATTTCTTGTTAACAACTTTCTTCGGACGCTTAGAATTTTCTGTATCTTTCTTATTTCGCGCCTTTAATATTTGACATATGCATTTCAAATTTCGAACGTTAGATTTTCTATGGTTACATTTCGGTTTAATTATAGTTTTGGTCTTGGCTTTATCGATTTTAATCTTTGGTTTTCTTTCGTATTTTCTCTTTATTTTCGATCTTTTTCTTTTTAATTCCTTACCCCTAGTGCCAGTATTAAACATATTATGAGTGCCATCACGCTTATTTGGCAGATTGGGCATTGCCACCTGTAACAAAGAAAAAGAAAACCTTTATATTAAAGAAAAAACAACGAAACGCGGGAAAATTATATATTTTATACTATTACATTCACAATCAAAACGGTTACTAAAGATGTATAATAATATTTTTAGCGGAATAAAATAATAAATTAAAAGTAAGTAAGGAATAACTATCCTTAGCATTCCTGAATACAAGCAAATAGTTTTTAAGGTTAACACATTTAAATCGATCCTGTCGTTATATTTGTACGCCCGATCATGAATGTGGTTCGTTTATAATTTCCATATGCAAATTGCAAAGAGCTTATGATATATTCAATCGCAACTAATCAACGCTCAAATCGTATCATGACTGATTAACCTTTACTTAGCTTTAGTACCAAAACAACGTCAAATAGTTAATGAATTACTGTGGATTTCTGATGCTAAAATCTCTGTATAAAATATATTGTCTTTATCTTTGAAAACATCAGAGATAACAATATATTTTAAGCCGGAATGTTGGTCTCAGAAAGTGATTATTCATCATCATCATCATCAGCTCACTATACGTCCCCACCGAGGGGCTCGGAACCTACCCTAAGTTAAGGGTGATTAGGCCATAGTCAACCACAGGCCACTTCACACCTATCATTGAATTTCTTCTCAGATATATACATACATCACGATGTTTTCATACATGGCGGGATTCGAACCCAGGACCTGCAGATGACAACTCAAAATTAACTGTTTATTAATTCGATTAATTTGGCTCTACAATTTGCATATGAATAACATTCACGATCGGACAATATTAACATCGTTCAAAGGTAATTTCTATCACAAAGACAAGGACAAGCTCACCAGCTGTCCTGTCTGCCACAAAGACCGTTCTTTGTTAAATCTGTATCACACAAAAAACAATACCTTCCATTCTGCACAACCCGGTTCTGAAAGAGAAGCACTTGTTTTTATTGTAGCTACAATCCATTAAAGCAATCATTTGAATCCACGTTTCGTTACACGCACGCCAAGTGGCATTTGCTACTGACTATGAAACTGTTGAAGGGTTGTTTCGAATAGGTATGATTGGAATAGATATGGATGAATTATACGTCCCATCTGTTTGGTAAACAAGGAGTTTGCGTTCTGCCATAGAGGTGGCAACGCATTTTGGCTGCTGTGTTGCTATTTTTAATTTAAAGAGAATAAAACAAGATTCTCAAGAAGATTTATTGAAAAACGTATACCAAACAACTGTGCTATTGTTTAGTTGTTGAAATGGCTAGAGACGTACCAGGACCGCGCTAAATGGAAGTTTTTAATATCTGCTCTTAGATGAGTTGTGTTGTCTTTGGTTTACATCGACTGTTGAAACGCAAAGATACCTTTCGCTTTACCTTGGTGATAGACCGTCGTTTGTCCAACTCGTCTCTAAGTTTGGGGTAGGCAGTGTTGTGATTGTGTACTCGTTCAATTCCGTCGCCATTCTTCATGAACCTATCTTCATAGTCAGGTTGATGGGATTCCTTGAACTTGTCGGCAGCATTTTTTATTCTCTGCATTTAAAAAGATGTTATCAAACAGATAAAGTGTACAAAAAGACATTCTACTAGTTTCCTCTGTAACTATAGTAATTAATTAAAGATTTTTGTGGTTTTCAAAGCCTTAAAAAAGGTTTCAAGGTAATAGAATTCCAAATTTAAACAAAGAAGATTGCTATACCGTAGGCCCATTACTAGTCATTCTCCCCTTTCCACTTTTTCGCTCATACAACCTTTCTACCGCAGATGTCTCTGGCAGGAGGCATGACGAAAGTTATAGTCACTAACCGTATTACATTTGTAACTTTGTTTAAGGTGGCAGGCCACTTATACATTTGCCACCTTTTATTATGAAAAAAAGTGGTATAACCATCACCTCTGTCGGTATCCTATCCCGCATGGGCATTGGTCCATCGTCGTGTATAATTGTTGTCATTATACCGACGATGTCACCGAAGTCCAAACATCGGAAGGAACTCGAGAACCAACTGGATTCATTTTGGTCATCCATAAATCATTTTGTCAGGCATCTGTAAAAAAAAACAAAAAATCACTGGCCAAAAACTAGTATTTTACCCTAGCCCTGTTGATGATTAAAAGATTTTCATCCGTTATATGCCCTTTGTAAATAATTTGATTTGAGAAATGTCAAAACAAGTCAGTGTACAAAAACTAGCACAGGTACCCTATGCCTATCTTAGTAATATTATGAATGCTTAAGTTTGGATAGATGTTTGAATGTATCTCCAAAACAGCTCATTGGATCGCGTTGAAATGTGACATACATGTAGAACACAGTCTTGAAGAACACAGGCTACTATTTTTTTTAATAACACGCAGGCCGAGTCGCGGGCAACAATTAGTTGACGATAAAAAGGTAAAGTACGTCGAAGTCTCTCCATTACTTGACTTAAATGACCTTAGAAAATGAATCTGTACAACAATTATTATTTTTAATCAGTTGTATCAAAACTTACCTACTATATTGTTTATTTTTTTATCAATATTCCTCGGTATTACGCTTTAAATTTTGATTTTATAATTAATTTACGGTTTTTATTAGATTTTCCTATTGGTTATAATTTTTGACATGTCCACTTTGACAGAAATTCTTTTTTTATGGCCATCTTTAAAATTGACATAAAAAAAGGTTTTATTAAGATTTTAATCCTATTTCACTGTAAAAGGTAATATGATTCTTTTATCACCTACGTAACCTGTAGGAGGTACAATAGAAGGTAAGTTTTTAAATTAGTACCAGGCTTTTATCGCCTAAACAACAAGTACCAGGATAGCATGAATGTAAAAGGGTGTGAAGGATACTGGAACTTTTCCCTTTTTATTATTTAGTTCTTTCTAATCCCGATTAGAACGCAAAATATCTGTATATTACCAGGGTACTATAATTTAACAGAGATATAACGAAACATCTAACATTAGGAAGGCTGGGGGAGATGCAAACGTGGGGTGGAATGTAAAATTCGAATGGAATTTTCCGCAAAGACGGAAAACATCGATATTGTACTAGGCTGTTATAAACCCGAAGGGGCTTCCAACTTTATTAGTATTAGAAAAGGGTGAGAAACAGATACCGCGCATGCGTCAAGGAAAAGAGGGTAAATAAAATTGAACAAACCAAACAGAAAAGTTCTGCACGATATGAAATTGACTACACTATGTCACTGCTCGTTAATTAATTTTAATGATAATAGATGGCGCTAGTAGTCTGATAGTTTTAAGTATTTTGTTATACTATTTGTAGCCCGTGTCTCCGGCTGCGCGGAATTAAAAATTAGTAGCCAATGCGTGCTTTCAGACTATGTTCTACGTCTATGACAAATTTCATTGATATACATGCTGCTGTTCTGGAGATTGTTTTTCACAACTCTACAACTTAAGTTACTCAATATGTCTACCTTTCTCTAAAACCCTGAGATTTCCTGGACATCTAAGCTCTACATAAGTAATAAAAAACAGATATTTTTGTGTAATTTTTATTTTTTACATAAACTCACAGTTGCTTACATTAATTTTAGTTTACATTTAAAAGTTAATTTCCTTTACTAATGTAAAAAACTTTATTTTACCGCTTAATCTAAATTCATGACATATTACAAACGTATTTTGATCCAACTAAAGTTCTCATACCGAGATTCTTTTCATCGGATTGGATTTCTTTGAAATAAATGTACAGTAAAAATGTAAATTAAAAATTAACAAAAACTACTGTTTTAGTTTCAAGTATTTTAACAACTATCTTGGTGGCTTGGAACACTGCACAAATCATTTTATGTATGGTGGGGTGTAAAAGGATGCAAGGGAATGGTACTGCATAACGCAAAACTCAAAATCAGCGAGTCAAAAAGGTTGAAATGCTCTATATGTTTATACCAAAGGAAACTAAACAAGATCCCAGCCATTTATCTATGTAAGGATTTAAAAATAACACAATAGCACTTATGAAGTCTATCGGGACTGAATATCAAGTATCTTCTATGATATTAACTAATTTTGACTGCATTACTTTAAGATTTAAATGTTAAAATAGTGATTTGGCAACAATTGTTTATTGGGTTGACTTGTGACTATTGTTGTCTCATTCTATCTATTTAAATAGATACCAAAACCTATGAGAATGTTATAATAATAAGTGTAGTAACATAAAATTTGATATTTAGAAATCACACCTCACACGAAATGAAAGAACTTCAAATGGTGGTCCAAGTTATAATCACATACTTTTCAATCTTACAAACTAGACAAATTAAATTATCGTCTTCCACGACCTCTGCCGCCGCGGCCGCCTCTTGGCCCGCCTCGGCCTCCGCGACCTCTGCCTCGGCCGCCGCGAGCACCACCTCTCGGAAAACCTTCACGTTTACCACGACCTTTTGGTGCGTCGTCTAACAACAAAGTTTCTATAGGCAGACTGTCAGGTAATAAGTAATATCTTATATTATTCCCACGTATACTTAGTGTTTCCAGTTGAAGTTCCTCCTTGTTCTTCAATGTAACTTTTACAGCTTTTAAATGTGTATTCATCGCTACATCCACACCTGTGATTGTGCCGTGGACGACGCTACCATTCTTTAGCTCGATTGTCACAGTCTCGTGACTCAATTTCATCAGAAATCTCACAAGCTTCATGATTATTATATTTTCGAACTAGTTTTCAACAAAAACAAGGACGGCGTCGTTACAACAGTTTTAACCTCAAATTCGGCTAAACAAAATTATGGCGGGCGGCAATGTTGCCATTTACAAAATTGCTTAATGTCAAATCTCTATGGTTGCTGATTACTGACCAGTTGCAAAATTGCAAAGAAACCAAGGCAACTAAAAACTAACAATAACATATCAAATCTCCTTTGTACTTTTCAAAATTAATTCACACGTCAAAAGGCATTATTCGAGATTTCCTAAATAAACAAACATTGTAATACATTTTATAACCAGATAAAAATGACTACCGAACAACCTAAGGTAGAAACTGAAGATGAAGAAACAGAACAGGAGATAAAAGAGAAAAGTGTATCAGCTCGCTTAATTTTCACTGAACAACAGGTTACAAAACTACTATATTTGTAAACTCGCCATTGATTTGTAAGGCTTAGCCAACTATACTTCTTTCCAGAAAAGAGATTTACGCGATGCGTTTAATCTACTCGATCATACAGGAGAAGGAAAAATAAAGGCCGATGACTTTCGTGTTGCGATAAAAGCTTTGGGTTGGTAAATTTAATTACCTGTACACGTTCTCTTTGATTTATTAAGACCTATTTTCCACAAGCGCAACTAGGTGCACTATTGATTAATGCTAGTGCCGACCGTTTACGACTAGCGACTACCGTAATATATAGTCGCAGATAGAGTAGCAACCAGACCTTTTTAATCTCCTATTTTTACAATTTAATTTGAGTAAAATCTATAAAGTAAATACAGCAAAAGAAAAACTAAGCTTTTACTAGTATATTTTAATATAGTACCAATCTATTTTAAAGGTTACGAACCCACGAAGGAAGAATTGCAGCATATGATAAATAGAGTTGACAAAACTCAAACGGGAAAACTAAGTTTTGAAAATTTTGAAACAGCTATAATGAGAAAAATAATGTCTTTGGACAGCGATGGGGATATTATGAAGAGTTTTCGCCTTTTTGATGATGGCGATTGCGGTAAATTGTGATCTTCATTTCATCATCCTCACCTACTAGTCGGGCCCCACTCTATGTCGACCTGCACCAGGCTAGATTAATTTACCCTACCACATCATTCGTCATTTCAGTTGTAAATTCGTAATAATTCAATTTCATTTAAATAGAAAAAAGACAATTTTCGTTGTCGGCTCCATCGCTGTTGAAAAATTATCCTAATTTTAATGTTAATTTATTTAAATTGTTAAATCGTAGGTTTTATTAGCTTTGAAAATGTGAAGAGAGTCTCTGAGATCTTGGGATTTGGTCTTACTGATGAAGAAATAGAGGAAATTATGGACGATGCGGACAAAGACTTCGACGGATTTGTATGAAGTTACACTACAATTTTTAATCAATTGCATAAAATATTGTTACAAAGTTAATGTATGTACGTTTTACATAATTGTTTGCAGATTTCCGTACAAGAATTTATGAGAATGATAAAAACATCAGTTCGTATTGAAACACCGTAATAAATAATTAATGATCACGACTTAAATGGATTTAGAAAAGTAAAATAATAAATATATTTCACAACTGAATTTTCTCTTCATTGCTCTTAAACTAAGCAAAAGTAACAAGAGCTTATTGTGGCGCAAAATAAAAAAACTAAAAAATTATTTTACTCTGTTTTTAATTCTATGATTGATGGTTTTCGTAGTCGTAGACAATATAGAGCTAGCGATTTTTTTGCTTGGCAAGTCTTCCGTTAAACAACAAAAACAATATTTTTATCATTTCAATAATTAAATTTTGTTTAGTTCCCATTAGTTTCTATAAAATTAAATATTAAAATAGATCGTATTGATCTTATGACTATCGACCTTATGATAAGATAAAAATTCAAAATATATACATAATGGGTAAGTTTTGAAAAGTTCTTAAAGCTAATCCTAAGTACTGAAAATTGCAGTTTCATCAATAAAATTTATTTTTATTTTAGAAATGGAAGAACAAACATTACACGAAAAATGTGAAAACATTATGAACGTGGTTGTTGAAACGCGTAAAAGATTTGGTAAAAAATGTGCAGAATATGATCAAAAAACTTCGTTAATAGAAAACAAAATCTTCAATTTACAATTAGAATCATTATCCAAAGTCAAATGCAAGCCTAAATATCAAAATTTAGACACTGATGTTGATATTATGAGGAAGGAAATAGACGGTTACATCACAGACCTCCAAGAAAGAGAAAAAAGGATTAACAATTTGTGTAGAAATGTAAAAAATACAGAGAAAATTGTACTACAGCTCAAGGAAGATAAATTAAGTAGAAAAATTATGCAACCACTTACAGCTGAAGCCAAACTTAAAGAATTAAAATGATTATCAATATAACATCAATATAATTTACATCATCATTAGCTCACTATATGTCCCCACCGAGGGGCTCGGAGCCTACCCTAAGTTTTGTGACAAGGCCATAGTCAATGCTGATCCGGTGCATGACTTCACATATCTTTGAATTTTACAGATATGTGCAGCATCAGAATGTTTTCTTTCACCATAAAAATGTTGTCCAAATATACATATGTACATCGAAAAACACATCTATTGCAAGTCAAGTGCTTAACTCCTGAGCCACCATTGCTTACCAAGACTAAATACTTAACTTTCTAAGCAATTCAGTATAAACAAATTTACTTAAAAAGTTGTTTTTCTATTCCATACCAACCCTTTGGGCTACATTTGAAATATCAGTCTACCAATAAAGGCTGCTTACTGTGAATTTTATCATTTGTTCACTTTTAAAATAACCTGGTTTATATTACGGCAGTACAGTTGGATAGTAGTGCTAAAAATCAGCACTGGTATGATGTAAACACAGACTGGTTCCAGTGAGCCCTTACAGTCTAAGCCAAGCCAGTGCTACTGTCTAATAAGTATATGCTGCGTTATTTTTTATTCTTCCTTCAATTATCAGAAATACCTATTGTAGAAAGTTTTGGAGTATTTCAATTGTTACTAGCGACATCAAAGTACAGTTGCTTTCGCATCACAAGAATGTATATCTATAAAGTCTATAATCTCTGCCTACTTCTCTGGATTACGGGCGTGAAGCGTGTTTCGGGAAGGTCAATGCTGAAACAACATGATGTAAGTAAACTTTGTTTAAAAATCTGTGTGACGATTTAAAAAGCGCGCCAAAGTAATCATAGATAATAAACAGTATGTTGCTAATTTATAAATTTTGTAGGAAATGAAATTGCATGTTTTTAAATAATTTCATACACAAACTAAGATGCATTAATTTTTTTTAAGTGAGAAATTTAGATACGAAAATATGAGAAAATTAGAAATATTTGAGTATCTGTTCAGAAAACAAAGGAATGTCGTGTAAATGTTGATGTCTCCCGGCAACCGTTTAACGTATAATAATAATTTGGTTGTTATTTAGAAAAGTGTGATTGAAGCTTTAAGTACTCTTAAAATGTCCATCCAGAAACTTTATCAGGAACACTGTGTGGTGCCTGATGTTATTAATGTTGCTCCATCTGAAACTTTAGACATCCAATATCCTAGCGGTGTGAAAGTTGATATGGGTAAAGAATTAACACCCAAACAAGTCAAAGATCGTCCTACAGTTAGATGGGCAGCAAAAGAAGGTGAATATTACACTTTAGCTCTCGTAGATCCTGATGCTCCAAGTCGCGAAAATCCTAAATTTCGTGAATGGCATCATTGGTTGGTTGGAAACATTTATGGTGGTGATTTGAACAAAGGTGAAGTACTTTCCGATTATATTGGTTCTGGTCCTCCAAAAGGAACCGGTTTACATCGTTATATATTTTTAGTTTACAAGCAAGCTGAAAAATGTGATTTTACGAAAGTGCCAAAACTCCCAAATAATTCGGGTGACAAGAGAGGAAAATTTTCGATTTCTAGATTTGCTGAGCAGTTTCAATTGGGTTCGCCAGTTGCTGGGAATTTCTATTTTGCAAAATATGACGATTATGTGCCTAAATTATATGCACAATTAAAAGGTTAAAATATAAAATTTTATGATAAACCGATAATCGGTAATATTTTTAATCTGTGCTCACGAGAGAATGGGACAGCATTTGTCTATGGTTTTGATCGATAATTATTTCCGCCTCCGCGTGACAATCGCATTTTTTGGAGCAGTCGCCATATAATCCGCCATTACATTTTGGAGTTTGCGTAAATTGGTCGTTGCACTTTCTGCGGGCATAACACACCTAGCGGTTATCAGTGACAGTTTTTGGTGTTCGTGCGTCGTATCGCAGCGTTTTGTTTAAACAAAGAGAGCTACGTTTAATCGTATGTCCATCCAGAATCTCAACACATTCGACCCATTCGCCGATGCTATCAAAAGCTCGGAAGACGACGTACAAGATGGACTAGTCCATGTCCGGATCCAGCAGCGGAACGGGCGCAAAACTCTGACAACGGTGCAAGGCCTGTCATCGGAATATGACCTGAAGAAAATCGTGCGGGCATGCAAGAAGGAGTTTGCGTGCAACGGAACCGTCGTGGAGCACCCGGAGTACGGCGAAGTACTGCAGCTGCAGGGCGACCAGCGAGAGAATATTTGTCAGTGGCTTACTAAATCGGGGCTCGTGAAACCGGAACAACTTAAAGTGCACGGCTTCTAAGTTCCCGCGTCCCCAACACATAACATGTTCTCATCGTGACATCATCATAGTTCTATATAATATAATGAGATTGTGCGCATTATAACCCTAAAGGAATATGTATCTAGAAAGCATCGATGTTTACAGAGATTAATGGACACGGCCTTGCGGCCCGCGCCCTGTGCCTTGCTGTCACCTAATGTAATATAAAATGTGGATATTTTTGAATACAACGCCGTCTCAACGTGTCAGACAGCTTTAGTTGCAAATTATCGCCGAACGAAATAGTATAAATCAATTTTTTTGTTTTTCCTTTTATATTATTACGTAAATATAAATTGCTGGAATATGTGATGTCTCAATTAATAATAAACATGTTTTTGTAAATCTGTCTCTTCATTTGCACTACCACGTAACGTGGTGTTTACCGTTACTTACCTTGTTAATGTCAAGATTTAATTCATAAGCAAATATCCTTTTCTGCAATAGTTTATATATTATTTCTAATGCTAAAAAAACAGGAAGCTTATCTTTGTCATTGCATTTCCGCCTTGTTGGCGCCTAACGGTACAATACAGGTAATACAGAAATTGTGAAAGTAGGACTCGCCAACAACGGGTCTTTCACAGGTGGTAATAAAAAAAAATAGTAACCCCTATTTTTTATTCAAGGTTGTAATGCATTTTCTATAAACAGTCAACACTACGTCAAATGGTAATGGAATAATTTTGCATTATGCATGCAAATATTTTAATACCGATTTATTTGCTATTGATATTAAATATTAATATATTCCATTTCCAGAAGGATTGTGCGCAAACAGGGAACTCTGCTTTATGGTCTTGTGAGTCATGACCTCGATTTAGCCGCAATGTATGAGGTCAGGCTCCTATAGAAAACCACGATGAAATAAACATATTTTCTCAATTTTACACAATAATTAAATTGATTGCAGTAATCATTTTATCAAATGAATTCATATTTTTGCATAACATTAAGTAATTTCATTTATTACGGTTTATTGGACTGAAAGAAATATGCTTCTAGGGTAACCCTTTCAAGAAATAAAATTCGGTTCTTTGAATCTCGTTAACCTAGAACTTGAACATTCGTTGACTCCTACCCAGATGTTAGCCGGTTGTTTTTGCTAGTTTATCGCAGGTATAAGACCATTCGTAAGTGTAAGTATGTATTAGTAATGCACATTCACAGACATGACGTCATAGTTTCGTGACGTAAACTATTTCAGTACGTAAAAACTACGAAGAGCAATTTAACGAATGATAACAAACAGCATCACATCATATGAAGTTGTTTCCTTTGGAGTAGATACGGGGGAAATTTATTATGAGCTTCATGAGTCGAAATGCAATAACTTAATAGGTTTTTTTTCTGTTTAGACATACTTCCTAGTTATAACGTAATACTTGGTTAAACAACCAACTATAAGCAATAGGAAAAGAAATCGTGGTAGATGCAGAGTTTATCCGCCGTGCTAATTACATAATTTTAAAAACTGATTAAAAAAAACTATGGGCAAAAAGACTAGTAGCTAGCAAAATTTTTTAGGTGTCAAAGCGAAAAGTTAGTCATTATTTTGACGTTTGACATTTAAGTTTTTCTTGGCAAGAAATTCGTGTTATACTTTCGCAAAAATTCAATAATCTTTGCAGAATAAAAGCTAGATATTTTATGTTATTAACGCTAGTATTAAAATGTTTATATTCCATTATATTTAGGCAACTTAACGGTTAAGAATAATAACAATTAATACGTCTTACGAATAAGGTATATATGAATTTAGTTTTTAATTTGTTCTATTGTATATTATATTTGGAGACTTGTGATTTTTATTTAATTTTCAGTATTACGGTATATAAGAGTTAATCATGACGGATAAAGTCTTATCTCTTGGTCAGCGGGTTATTCTCGTTGCTAAGGACGTAAAAGGGACTGTGGCGTATGTTGGATACCCGACTTTCGCTTCGGGAAGATGGGTCGGAGTGATACTGGATGAACCTAAGGGAAAGAACAATGGTACACTACGTGGTCATGCTTATTTTCGTGTAAGTAACTTAATTTTAGGTTGTCTGTGCTCTTTCAGATTCCGGAACTGATTGCTGTCCTAAATTTTATCTGAATCTTTTAACAATTATGTAAATATGTGATGACAACATCCATCCAAACTTATATACTAGCTGTCGTCCTTTACTCTGTCTGTACTGACTAAAAAAAAATTAAAAAGTAGTATATGTTCCTTACAGACTCTTCTACATTTGGGCCAAATTTAATTTAGATTTATTTAGCTGTTCTGTAAATACTTTGTAACAAACATCCATCAATCCATCTGTTGACATTTATAATATTAATAAGGTTAGAAATATTAATATACTTCCTTCTATGTATTTCAGTGTGAAGAGAATTATGGTGTGTTTGTACGTCCAACACAAATACAACTTTTGGATGGAGATGATAACCCTGTAGACATGACAACATCTACTGAGGAACCGTCTATACTAAAATCATCTAGCAACCGTCGACTTAGCAGGTATGTAGAAATATACAGTTAAAAATTGGTTATGTTGTATTCGATGAGGTTAATTTTGTGTTGAAATCATGAATGTATCCTTTTTTATATAAGAGTAAATAAGTTCTTTACATAGGGTTTATATTTCAAACATGTTTCAATATCATATTTTTTCTTTTTTGTAACTAAGTAAGGCAAGTAATTTTATAATATTACTAATCTGTTAAACTATAGTTCTAACCGTAGGTTTCTGAGGCTAAAATTCCCTTTTAAAACATATTGTCATCTCTGTTTTGTCAAAAATAATGACAGGGATGATATGTTTTATACAGAGACTTAGCTGTCGCTCGCGACTTCTTTAGCGCGGAATTAAAATATAACAAAATTAGTAGCCTATGTGTTCTTCCAGATTATGTTCTACATCTGTACCAAATTTGATCAAGATCAGTTGAGAAATTTTGGTGATATCTTTAAAGAAACATCCATCTAAACATTCGCATTTATAATATTAGTAGGATTGCTCTCAGTAGGTAAGCAGATAAGTCTAGAACCTAGTTTAGGAAGGCGCACTACTACTTTGTAATTTAAAAAGACTTTTCTTGCCTAAATAAATGTTTTTAATGTACTCATACTATGTTCATGAGATTTATATATACAAATTTTTGTATTTATAATATTAGAAAGGTTTTATTGACATAATTAATTAGAAGTAGAATATAAAAAAGGATGCATTATGGTTTTTTAACAGATAAATTGGTTTTATTGCATGATTAAAAGGTTTTAAAATAAATTTATAGATTTGGTATAAAAAAGAAGGTTGAGGAATTTTACATTTAACATAAAGTTGAATTTAAGTTACATTGATTAATATAACAAATTAAACATCATCAGCTCACTATACGTCCCCACTGAGGGGCTCGGAGACTACCCTAAGTTAAGGGTGACTAGGTCATAGTCAATGCTGGCCAAGTGCGGGTTGACTTCACACATATCTTTGAATTTCATCTCAGATATGTGCAGCATCATGATGTTTTCCTTCACCATGGCATATAATTTAAACATAATAATATAATAATAAGATTCCTGTACAAAAGTTTTGTTAAAGTTTTTTTTTTTAATATGTGTTTGTGAAGATTTTAAAGCACTTTAACAGTTAACAATAAGGTAATAAAATTATATTTTTAAAGCCCTCGGCCACAATTGTTGATCCCAAATCCGGAGGGAAACACGGGGATCAAACGGTACATATTAAGTACAGTACACAAGTAAATAATAGTCAAAGTATTGCTATATTAAGGAATATTGCCAGTTTAGAAAAATAATTTACTAAAATGACAGCCAAAATTGTTTTCTAGTCATTGCTATTTATAATAGTTATTTCTCATAAATGTTTAATTGCTTCGATTTTTATTGTGATTGAAAATTGTGATATTTTGCTATCTCTTTTATTATCAAAGTATATGAAAGGGATGGCATATCTCTGTGTGATATCATCAGCTCACTATACGTCCCCACTGAGGGACTCGGAGCCTACCCTAAGTTAAGAGTGATCAGGCCATAGTCAACCACGCTGACCAAGTGCGGGTTGACTTCACACATATCTTTGAATTTCTTCTCAGATATGTGCAGCATCACAATGTTTTCCTTCACCGTAACATCGGATGAATGTACATATGTAAATCGGAAATGGAAAAACACATTGGTACATGGCGGGATTCGAACCCAGGACCTGTCGATTGCAAGTCAAGTGACTCCTGAGCCACCGACACTCTCTCTGTGTGATATACTGAGGATTATTTACGTGATTTTTTTTTGTTTTTAATGTCGTTTTCTAGTGAACTAGGTTTTAGTGTGCTAGTATAGGGTTAGCCAATTTGATTGCCTGAGTAACATACAGTTTATTGATGAAAATTTGCGATTTATTAATTACAAATGTCTTAAAATGTATTATTAGCAATTCAAGTCCCCACTGAGGGGCAACCTACCCTAAGTTAAATGTCATAGTCAATGCTGACCCAGTGACTTCACACATATCTTTGACATTTTCCAACAGATATGTGCATCACGATGTTTAATTTGACTGTAAGAATGTCGGTCGTCGTAAAATCTATAATATAGCATAATTAAGTAATAAATATTATCTGATATTATAAATGCGTATGTTTGGATGGATGTTTGTATGTATCTAAACGGCTTAATAAATCTTTATGATATGGAACACAGTCTGGAAGAACACATAGACTATGTTCTATATGTATGCAAAATTTAAACGAGATCCATACAGCAGTTCTGGAGATATCTACAAACATCCATCTAAACATTCGCATTTATAATATTAGTAAGATTTATATTCTTTGAATTGAGATCGATTGGATTCATCTAATCAACAAATTGGCTACCCCTGCTAGTTGAGTCCAAACCAATCATTTCAGTGTGCTTTGGTTTTTTCGCTATAATGTTTGTGTTATTAATTTTTTCATTTATTAGGGAAAGTCATTATTTAATATTTAAATACACATTTCATATCGATTCAATTAAAACATATATTATAATATTGATAAAAAAGTTTAACATGTTGAGCGTCACGCGTATTTCTAAGACAATCCCGTTCAGACCACGACCGCCGCTTATACGCGTATTAAATGGCCGGTGTTTCCGATCGCTGTACAAAATAGTTTACATTTTTAACGCAAAATAGTGTTAAATTTTATAGTTCTCATGTCAGCTGTTAGCTACCCATGGCTGATGTGGCGCTCAACGTGTTAGAGGTACGCGTCCAGTGGTCCGCACCGCACGCAGGGCCCGTAACGGATTTTAGTTTGTATGACATAGCGATGCGTTGCAATACGACATTTATCGCAAGCGAGCTTATCACCACCTCAAAGGCAACGCATCTGCGGTTCCTCTGCTATTGCTGATGTCCATAGGCGTCGTTGAACACCGCGGTGTTCCCGATGCTCGTTTGCCTCCTTCTGTTATAAAAAAAATCCGTTGCGGACCGTTTCTACGATGCTGATCAATGGACGCGTACTTTTTTATATTCACATTAGACAAAGTTATCTGACCTGGTGGGCAGTTAAATTAAATTATGACAGCTCACTAACGCCCGCTGTCAATGTCAAAATCTCTATGGGCCTAGCACACTGACCTATACATGGACGGGCTATGAACCGTAGTATTTTGTGCCTATTTGATTTTCTTTTTGACGCTGACGGTAGCAGTTTGTAGAGTTGTTGAAGATTGGCACTAATATAGATGGAATTAACTGTCAGGAACTTCATCAGCCAAGTCGCTGTAATTTCAAAGCCTTTTCATTTATAAAGATAGGTAGCTTAATACGGATATTTATTAAAATCACCATCGTATCGTCGTCGTTAATTGTGAAAACTAGCGGTCGCCTATGAATCTAACAAAAACATAATTAATAGTCTATGTGTTCTTCCAGACTATGTTATACATGACAAATATCATCAAGATCCGTTCAGCATTTCTGGAGATACCTTCAAACATCTATCCATCTAAACATTCGCATTTATAATATTACGAGCGGTCGCCCGTGACTTCGTATGCATCGAATAAAAAAGAACATAATTGTGAACATAAAAAAGAACCTATGTGACATGTTCTATATACCAAATCTCATCAAGATCCCTTTAACTTTTCTGAAGATACCTTCTAACAAACATCCATCCATCCATCCATTCAGATTAGGGTAAGATTAATTAAATATAATGGCTTCACAAATATTTGTACTAGGCTCACAGAAGTTTACTGAACTAACAATTAGCAACACCTCACCGGTCCAGATAATCTTGTCTTATAACCATAACAATAAAAACCATTTGTATTAATCCGTTGTCTCTTTTTAATCAAAGAAATTGAAAGAGATGGCAATAATACATGAATTATAAAATATAACATAGTTATAGTACGTTTAACATAACATAGACTGATAGTATGTTTTGTTCCTGGCTAGTATAACAGTCGCGCAGAGATCTAGGCCAACCACGTAAGTACTATAATGTAGCGCACTCGCTTCGCTTTTCACAAGCCTATATTCAAATGTCTTGGTCGCTCAAGGTCATGTACACTTCACCCCACAACACGTGACCCCAATACATCTAAAATTGTGTTCTGCACATATTCACGTACTTTAGAGCCGCCAAGATATTTGATAACTATTATACTAGATTTTGATAGACAAGATCCAATGATATTATAATTTTGTTTACAGTGGCTAGTTTATTACAAATTAAGATTTAAAATCTTTTTCTCTTTAATCGACGGAGGAGGAGAAAGTGAACACTCATTAGACGAAACGCGAAATTGCTTCATTCCGGATTTAATTCTTACATTTATTTTTAAAATTAGTTTTCGCCTGCGACTCCGTCCGCGTGGACTTAAAACACCATTAGTAGGCTATGTGTTCTATATGTATGCCAAATTTCATCAAGATCCGTTCAGTCGTTCTAGAGATACCTTCAAACAAACATACATCTAAATATTCGCATTTATAATATTAGTAAGATTAATTTGCTTGTTTACTAAGTTTAGAGTTTGGAATAAACTGTAGCCACTTAAAAAACAACTTAAAAAACATTTCTTGTCTCTCAAATTGATATTGACAATCGTTTATTCCTTTAGTTATTTTTATTATGCCTTTTATATTTTAATAAATATATCATTTTTATTTATACTCTGTGGTATAATCTTGTCCTTATTTAATTTACTTGCTTTTAAAATTAGGATTTTTTTTTAAAGAAAAATTACGAAATATTTTTTTTATGATTTTGGTACAAAAATATATATTTTTTTTATATTTTAAAATTATCACGTAATATTTTAATATCGTAAGTGCATCATATACTTATTCTATGTTGTAAATAATAATTTATGTTATGTGCTACAATCGCGTTTCATATGTGTATGTTCAACATAAGATATATAATAAAAATTGTTGGTGAATGCCCCGTGAAGTGTGCGGAGGAAGGCGTCACCGGCTCAGACAAAGGCCGGTACATTATCAATGTCGAGGTAAATATTGTGATATTTACTAAAATATGTTATATGTAGTTCTTTTATTGCACTGTTGGAATATATGCCGTTTTATGTTGTAACATAGAATTTGCACATATATGTTGTACATATGTTTATATCGTCGCGTCATTCCTTCCGCGCGGGAGAATAGTAGCCTACGTGTTCTTCCATAATATGTTCTACATGTCAAATTTCAGCGAGATACATGCAGTAGTTCTGGAGATACCTTCTAATAAGCATCCATCTAAACATTCGCATTTATATTAGTAAAAAGAAGGATGTGTGATAACATAATGAAAATATGCTGGATCATCATCAGCTCATACCTCCCCACTGAGTGGCTCGGAGTCTACCCTAAGATAATGACTAGGGCATAGTCAATACTGGCCCAGTGACTGACTTCACAGATATGTGCAGCAACACCATGATTCCCTTCAACGTAGGAACGTCGGATAAATGTATATATGTATGAAAAATACATTGGTACATGTACATTTATCCGACGTTCTTACGGTGAAGGAAAACATCGTGATGATGCACATATTTGTAAAGAAATTAAAAGATATTTGTGAAGCCACTCACTGGGCCAGCATTGACTATGGTCTAGTCACCCAACTGAGGGTATACGTGAGCTGATGATGGAAATTCAAACCCAGGGCCTGCAAGTCAAGCGCTCAACCTCTGAGCAATCGCTTTTAAGATCTATGTTACAACATAACAGATTTAAAATTAATGTTATACTGGTTTTATGTTATATAATATTTCATTTATGTTGAATACAATTGCACCGTATTGTTAATTATATCCACATTGCATTTATGTTGCACTATGTTTTTTATTTTCGAAATATTTTAATAATTCATGCACTTTGTTGAACATATGCACAATTGTTAATGCTTTGACAGTTTTATTTGAATTTTAAATGTCATAAAATTAGGCGGTTTGTTATTTATTTAAGGTTAAAGTTAATTTCGCTTTTTTATACCAATTATGTTGAACTCAATTAAGTCTATGTTGAACTTTTTTAGATGTATATATTTTTTAATAAAAATATAGCTGTTTTTATATTAAATAATAATAACGAAGAATTATGAAAATCAGACAACTAGGGGCGGAGTTATCGAGGAAAAAAATATACAGACGACTTGAGAACCTTCTTTTTGAAGTCGGTTAAAAATAGATTTAAGCCTGAATTATTTTTGAAGATTTAAGATTTTAAAAAGTATAGCAAAGCTCTTTCATAACTATAGTAATGTTTTTTTCTTATGTATATTATATTTTGTTTAAGATTTTTTTTGAACAAAAAGTTGAAGAGAATTTAGAATACTTGCGCTGAAGCGACTCAAAGTAGAGTTACTTCGAGAGTGATCGAGAGCGACATAATAATAATAAGTTTCTTTAAATATTAATTAGTATAGCCTTACAAAATTTTAAATATTTTTAAATGTTCATTTTGTGTTGCCAATAAAATTTATTAAGTGTTGCTAGGATATTAATGCTTGATGTTGCATGTTCATACATTTTATAACACTAACGGTAAAGATGGCCATACATTTACGATAAATTTTTGCCATATTTATGAATACTAGCAGTAGCCCACGTCTCCGTCTGCACGGTATTAAAAAAAACTTAGTAGACAATGTGTACTTCTAAACCAGTGGTTCCCAAACTGATTTTGTCTACTGCCCACTTTGGGAATATTTTTTTAGCACCCCCATATTTTCACATATTTAAAAACCCCTATAACTTCAAATTAAATTAATTAATTATTGTGACCTATATATGTATATTAACGGAGAATTGTAAACGAAACTTTTACTATAACCCGCAACTTGAGACCTGCAGCGCCCACAAGGGGGCGTTATCGCACACTTTGGGAAAGACTGTTCCAGACTATGTTCTATATGTATGACAAATTTTTATCGATGTTCGTTTAATCGTTCTGGGGATACCTTCAAATAAACATCCATCTAAACATTCGCATTTATAATATTATTAAGATTAATAAATAGTTTTTGAGTTAA